GGAAACTGTAAGATCGGGAAACAAAGGAACAATACAGATAGTATGTGCCTCAAACTCAGCCTTGAGAGCCAGTCACGAGCATGAGATAACGCAGTCACAGGCGCAAGCTGATAGCATTCTGTTCTTTGTAAGAAGCCACAAACTTCTTGTTCACAGTTAGGCTTATCTAGGCTTCCTGCAGCTGCTTCTTCCCACCCACACTGAGGCAAGCCAAAGGTGGTGCCCATATTTGATAATGAGCAACATGAATAGAGTAGATTGAACAATGTATTAGACACGTGTCAAACTTGCATAGATAGATTGTAAGCCAAGCCTCCAAAAGAGGGGCGGCAGCTAGGTATAAAACTGCTGTACTGAAACTTGATCGGGGCTCTTCGTATCCACGGGTACGAGGAGTCCGCCTTTGCAAACGCGCTGAATAAAAGGGTTATCCTTATACTGGAGTCTTAGTCCTTTGTCTCCACGAATAATATCTAACAATTCTTGGCGCCCAACGTGGGGCCCTCGACGGGTTGCGCGGGGAACTCGGATTCCGGGCCGGCGCCACTCCGTTATTCGGAGTAGCCCGGACCTAGATCTGCCCGCGACAGCTCACGAGGGCTAAGACAGGACTCAATATAAGGAAGTAGGGAAAACTCTAGTTCTTGGTCTGGGACCGCGAGCACCCAGCGGGGACGCCCGCCTGTTCACTAGTTGCGAGAAGCGACGCTGGACTGTATTGGGTGAGTAGACATAAGAACTTGGTAAACTGTGCTGTGGGACGGGGGCGAGAGACTCGTCTCCTGAATGAAAGAGAGGCTCCATACGGACGCGTGAGTGTGGATCAGGGTTCGACCCTGACGAGAGGATAAGCTTGCGGTTCCGTCTATCCCGCGAGGGAAGCGGCCAGGCGATTCCGTGCGACTGTGTGTGTGAGTGGAATTGGAGACATTGTAAACCATGGGCAGGAGTCAGAGTAAAAGACAGAGGGAAGAGAATGGGAAAAGCCCAATCGACTCTAATAGCCCGTTGGGCCAGGTGTTGATCCAGTGGGATGAGGACTATTTAAGGAAATTCACTAGGAGTTTGATGAAGGTGACTATGATTAACTTTTGCAGGAACATCTGGCCAAAATATCCAATAGGGCCAGAAGGTGCATATACTTGGGATCCAGAGGGGGAGACGGATAGGTACTGGATGACCCAGTTGAGGAATTATTTGATACTTAATAAGAAGGAAAAGGAGAAACCATATCTAGAGGTATGGTTCCACGCCCGGTTCTACGGACCGGATCCCCCGCCCGTTAGTCAGTATCCCTGAGGAAGAAGGAGGAGGATTCAGATGAAGAAACACGTCCTGGTCCCTCTGCCCCTCCCGTAGTTGCGCAACGGCCGCCAAGCCCGCCGGCACACCCGGCGGTCACGAGTCCCCCGGGTAATGCCCGGCTGGAGAGGGGTCAGACATCCCCGGGGAATCAGGACGCTGGGGAGGGAGTTAGTGGGAAGGAGCCGAATCAGGAAATTTGTTCACCGCCACCTTATCAACCACCGAGTAGGGAAGTGCAACAATTAGAGAGGGATATACGGAATCTCCCTTTCCCGGAGGGAAAGCCCCGCGGTTCCCCCTTGGTGGAGGCATTCCGAATGTATAGAGGAAGGGAGGGTTGGGGACTCTCACGGACGGAGGACCCAGGAGACTCTCCCGTTCATACTTTCCCCCTTAGGGAGACCCCGGAGGGAGAAATGCACAAGGAAATCCAGTTATGGTATATGTGGTCAGTCCCATCAAGCCATCAGAACTCAGGGAATTGAAACAGACACTGCCCAAATTGCATGAGAACAGTCAGGAGGTCGCGAACCTCCTCCAAATGTGGATGGGACCTCATATATACACATACACCGAATTGATGTATATATTGGGGCATTTGTTTACCCCAGAAGAAAAAGCAATGATTAGGAGGGCAGCAATGCAGTACTGGGAAGTTAAGGAGGATCAACGGGTCGCCGCGCCAGTACCGGGTCAAGGTGTACAACAGGTGGTTCCATCGGAGACCAAATTTCCCCTAGGGGACCCGAATTGGGACATAAACGATGCAAATCATCGGACTCATTTGATAGATCTGAAGGAGATGATTTTGGAAGGAATTAGACGGGCTGTACCCCAAAGCACCAATCTCACCAAAGCTTTTGAGGTCAATCAAATGAAAGAGGAGTCACCGGGTGACTTCATACAAAGGATTAGAGACCATTTGACTAAGTATTCAGGGGTGGCCCCAGATTCACCGGCGTTTGACAATCTGCTAAAGATGCAATTCGTAACCAAGGCATGGCCCGATATTCAAAAGAAATTGCAGAAAATGAACTGGCAAGACGCCGCCATCATAGATCTAGTAAGGACAGCGCAGCAGGTTTACGTCAACAGGGAGGCAGTAAAAAGTAAGCAGAAGTGCCAGATGATGGCGGCTACTTTGCAGAAAACTTGGGAAGTTCAGAAACAACAGGAAACCGAGGCTGCGAGAGGACGTGGGGGAGCCCCATATCGGGGAAGAGGGCGAGGGAGAGGGGGTTACACACCAGGTTCCAGTGTCATTTGTTATCGATGTAACAAACCTGGTCATTTTGCCCGAGAATGTCGGACCCCACGAGATCAGATACTGGAAAGAAATGAGCAAAGACAGGGAAGTCAGAGGCCAAGACAGACAGAAAGAGAGGGAGGAACTGACACCACTGAGTTGTTCAGTTTATATGATGAATAGGGAACCTCCGGCTCGCTCCATGGGGCCCGGAATGAGCCACTGGTGAACTTGTGTGTGGGGCCCTCTCAGAAATCAGTGGTTTTTCTGATAGACTCAGGAGCGACCCGGTCCTCTATATGTGTACCTGTTCCAGGGGTACGTAAAACAATGTCAAATTTGAAAGTAGTAGGGGTAAGCGGGAAACCAAAGGAAGTTGTGCAATTAGAAGAAACCATTATAAGAAGAGGAGACCGGATAGCTAAGGGATCATTATTATTCATCCCTGAGTCAGGAATAAATTTGTTAGGGCGAGATTTGATGGTAGAATTGGGATTTCAGTTATTGGATTTAGACTTAGGAACTCCCATGTACCCTCTGCAGATAGAGGATGAGGAACAAATAGACCCAATGGTGTGGGCAGATGGGAAGATGGTAGGGAGACTGGACATAGCCCCCATTAAGGTCACAGTAAAGCCAGGAATCACCCAGTCATGGACCCCCCAATACCCAATGACTAGGAAGGGAGAATAGGGTTGCAGCCGGTGGTGAATGAACTGATAAAGCAGGGATTATTAGAACCCACCATGTCACCTTTTAATTCTCCTATCTTAGCAGTGCAAAAGAAAGATGGGAAATATAGAATGGTTGAGGACCTAAGGAACATAAACCAGATAGTGGTCCCCGTTTCCCGGTAGTACCGGACCCATATACTCTCCTTAGCCGCATTCCACCCACTACCCGATGGTATACCGTTATAGACTTAAAGGATGCATTTTGGACTTGTCCCCTGGACATTGAAAGCCGAGATCTATTTGCTTTTGAGTGGGAAGATGTGAACACGGGCAGAAAACAACAATATAGATGGACGGTCTTGCCCCAAGGGTATACAGAAAGTCCACTTCTTTTTGGGCAGGCACTAGGGGAAAAGTTAGCAGGTTTTACCACCACAGGCCCCAATAGCTTGTTGCAATATGTAGACGACCTGCTGATGATGGGAGAAAAAGAGAAAGAGGTTAGACAAGACTCTATAAGATTGCTGAATTGGCTGGGTAAGCTAGGGGTGAAGGTGTCTAAGGACAAATTACAGTTTGTACAGCGGAAGGTGAAATATTTGGGGCATTTGTTAGAAGGGGGAACAAGAAAATTGGATCCAGAAAGAGTCAAGGGGATCTTAGAATTACAACCCCCTAAGAACAAAACAGATGTGAGGAGAATGCTGGGACTCCTGGGATATTGTAGACTGTGGATAGACCAATTTGCCAAGCTGGTTCGGTTTTTAAACCAAAAACTAGTCGGAGACGGTGAAATAACATGGGGACAAGATGATGAACAAAGATGGGAAGAAGTAAAGAAAACATTAATAGGGGCCCCGGTCCTAGCACTACCGAACCTCCAACAGCCATTCCACTTATATGTAACCATCAGCTCTCAGACTGCTGTCGGAGTTTTAGCCCAAAAGAGGGGGCGGTATCAGCCAGTAGCCTATCTCAGCAGAACCCTGGAGCCAGTAGTGCGAGCATGGCCCACGTGCATCCAGGTGGTGGCAGCAGCGGCTGAATTGGTAGTTGAAAGCAGAAAGCTAACTTTTGGAGGAGCCCTAATTGTTCATAGTCCCCATCAAATATCCACGGTGCTGACTGGGGCAGCCTCCACCTGGATGACGGATGGCCGCTTAACGCACTATGAAACAGTGCTAAGAACAAGCCCTGATATCACACTGGGAACTGATCGGAATCTAAATCCGGCAGAATTCCTGATAGGAGAAAGGAAAGAATGGGAACCGGATGAACACGACTGCTTGGGCACAATACAATTAATGGCAAAGGTCCGAGAAGATTTATCTGAAACCCCTTTAACAATGGGAGAGAGATGGTACATAGATGGGTCTAGTTATGTTAAGGAGGGAAAAAGGAAATCAGGATATGCTGTAGTCAAGGAGGATGGGGAGGTGATCGAAAGTGGGGCCTTGCCGGCGAATTGGTCGGCCCAGAAAAGTGAAATCATGGCCTTGACCCGGGCCCTCGAGTTGGCTAGGGGCCTGGAAGTAACCATATGGACCGATTCCCGTTATGCATGGGGTGTGGTGCATACTTTCGGGAGGACCTGGCGAGACCGAGGGTTCATTAAGGCAAATGGGAAACAGATAGAACACATGGCCTTGTTGGAAAGGCTGTTGGATGCCCTTACTGGACCAGAAAAGGTTGCAGTGGTACATATCCCCGCTCACACCAGGGGTACTACCCCTGAGGAAGCTGGAAATAGATGGGCTGATTTGAGGGCAAAAGAAGCCGCTAAGGGAGTGCCAAACGAGATAACAATACAGCAATGTACCCTGAGGGTGCCCATTCTTACCACGGCTGACACAGAGAATTTAACTTTCACCTCTCAAGAGATAGAATATATAACAAGAGAGGAATGGGAAAAGAAGGGTAAGGAATGGAGGACCCCAGAGGGACAAATAGTACTGCCAAAGACTGTAATGATGGGGATTCTAGAGAAGATACATGAGAGTGGACATTTCGGGACAGAGGCTATGGTTAACCTGGTGAAATCATTGTATTGGAGTAAAGATATGTGGCCCATGGCCCACTCCATAGCCTGGAAATGCATAATCTGTCACAAGGTAAATAAGGCCAAAGCGAAGAAAACAGAAAAAGGGGGAAGACCTCTAGCAGTATGGCCATACCAAAGAATACAAGTGGATTTCACAGAGCTACCAGAGAAGGGAGGTTATAAACATCTTCTGGTATTCAAAGATCATCTTACAGGATGGGTGGAGGCCTTCCCAAGTCGAAAAGCAACAGCACAGGTAGTAGTCAAGGCCATTCTGGAACATATAGTCCCCCGGTTTGGTATAATAGAAGCCATAGACTCAGACCGCGGCACCCATTTCACACAGAAGGTTCTACAGGAAGTAATGACAGCCCTAGGAATCAAATGGGACCTTCACACGCCGTGGCATCCAGAGAGTAGCGGGAAGGTGGAAAGGGCAAATGCAGAAATAAAAAACATTTAACTAAATTATATTTAGAAAATGGATTACCATGGACAAAAAACCTTCCTTTGGCTTTACTAAGGATGCGTATAGCCCCCAGAAAGGACTTAGGGGTATCCCCATTTGAGTTGATGATGGGAAGACCATACTTGGCGCAACTAGGTCAACCGATGGTGGAGTTCAAAGACTTGTTCATTAGAAAGTATTTGCAATCACTCTCCCAGTCTTTGTTGTCTCTTCATAGACGCGGTATCCTGGCCCAACGCCCTCCGCTACTGGAGCAGCAACACAGTTTCCAGCCTGGTGACCTGGTCCTGATTAAGACGTGGAAGGCGGAAAAGCTCAGCCCGGGTTGGGATGGTCCATTTCGGGTCCTGCTTATCACCGAATCAGCAGTACGGACTCGTGAGTATGGATGGACCCACTACCACCGCGTGAAGAGGGCCCCGCCTGAACGTTGGACGGCCATACCGAGCCTAGACGATCCACTAAAAATAAGAATCACAAAATCAGGGACCGGGAACCAGGGAAGGACTGTAAGGCAATAACTAGAGCTCCAATGTGTTTATTCTGCACGTGCAAGTGTCTTTTCGAATGCTGTTGCTGTGCCCACTGTGAAGGGTGTGTCTGCTGTGTCCACTGCACGGAAGAGTGCAATCTCATGTGCATAGAGGACATAATACTCCAATACTGTACGATTGCACCGGGAGGGACAATTATATATTGCAGTTTAGTTCAGACCCCCACGGTGGTCCAGGCTCTCAGAGAGTTGGAAAACAAATAATATGAAAATAAGTTGGATGAGGGGATTTCTGTTAGGCCTCTTAACAGTTGGTGTGGTCCGGGGCTCCGCGGAAACGCTACAATGTACAGAATGTATTCAAGTCACAAAAACAGGGAACAAAATTACAAGGACCTTAATGTATTATAATGTAGCTCCAGAGTGCAAGGAGATACTAGACCCCTGTGTCCACAATCAGACCCAGTACTATAGATGTAAAACTGGAGAAAATAAAACAGAATGTTATGAACCTTTGGCCTTAGGACCCACCACCTCCACCGTTTACGTATATGGATACAAAGGGGGGAGCAGTAGGGAGGCGGCAACAAAGATCGGTAGCATTCGCGTTGGCTCAGCAGAGGCAGGGGTATATAGCTCACAATGTGACCAGAGGGACTGCAACAATCCACGTATGTTTTGATGCTTGCACAGCTATAGCCAAAGGACAGGGACCAAACAACCAAGAAGGGGTGACCTGTGGATCCCATGGTTGGGAACAATCCTATCTAACAGAGAGTAAATATCTATTTCAGCGAATAAGGGAGGCAACATAGGGGCAGGAGGAGGAATCGTGAACTATTGGTACACAGAAGGAGTGAGCTCCAACCCCACATATAAAGGTCCAGAAGGAATAAACATAACAAGGGAAGGAGCGTCCACTGACTGCAGCATAGGAAAATGCAACCCCATCTGTTTACGGGCTAGGGAGCTGCCTTCTACTACCCCCAAATACGTTTATCTTGGATTGGGAATAGACGGGGCCGGAAGAGATCCTTATGGGTATCTAATTATTAAAATACATACCACTAAAGTCAGTAAACAGCCAATCTCAGTATTTGAGAGTTTTGAGGAAGAAATACAACACTTAAATAGTTTGCTCCTTCCCCAAAAGCTCATAACATGTTTTTAAGTTTAGCTGAGACTATCGCCAAAGAGCTAACTGTGAAGAATTGTTTTGTGTGTGGAGGGACGAATATGGGAGACCAATGGCCCTGGGTTGCTCACGAAGTAAACTACACTGAGGTTTGGAAAAATGAAAAGAATTATACATACCACCACCCAGGTAATGAAATTTGGCAAGTCTCAAATAGCCTTGTGGGGTTAGAATGTTTTGTCAGAAATAAGTCAGACGCAGGAAGTGGTACAGAAGTAGGGGACACCCCTGTTTAGGACAATGGAACAACAGGCAGTGGTGGAGTTCGAGTAATGTAACCAAGACCTGGCCATCGGCATTGGCCAACATGAATAATATGACTTTCCTTCAGGATCCACAGAACATGGCAAGGGAATGGACGACCCCGGATGGATTTTATTGGGCATGCGGGGGGTATGCATATAACCGACTGCCCCCAGATTGGGTGGGGTCTTGTGTACTGGCTACTCTCCGACCTAGCTTCTTTTTACTTCCCCTAGAGACGAAGGCTATGCTGGGCGTGCCAGTATATGAGGAAATTGGGCCTAGGAAAAGGAGGGCGATTCACATAGGGACATGGCAGGATAATGAGTGGCCCCCCGAGAGAATAATTCAATATTATGGTCCTGCAACTTGGGCAAATGATGGGACAGCGGGGTCTTTCGGAAGAGATCCAAGCTATCTATTAAACCGTATCATTCGGTTACAAGCTGTAGTAGAGATAATAACTAATGAAACTGCTATGGCACTGACAAAATTAGCTAGAGAAAGTGCAAAGAGCCGTACTTATATTATGCAAAACAGGCTTGCTTTAGATTATTTGTTAGCAAAGGAGGGCGGGGTTTGTGGGAAATTTAACCTAACCAATTGTTGTATCGAGATCGATGAAAGTGGTAAAGTAGTTAAGGATATAGCTGATAGAATGATAAAACTAGCGCATGTACCGGTGCAAACGTGGGACGGATTAAATTTTAAAGATTTATTTGGATCCTGGTTTCCAAAACTGCCAGGGCTACAGGCTGTCGTGGCTCTGATTGGACTAATAGCCGCAGGATGTGTATTAATTCCATGCGTATTACCTATCTTTGCCCGGGCCATTAACAACTCCCTCTCCCTGTTGGCCCAGCGACATGTAACTACCCAGCTAATGGCCATGAGATACACCCCAGTACCCACGGACGAGGAAGGGAGGGAATATTGGGAGATATTACGTGAGTTTGAGGCAAGGTATAAAAAGAAAAGGGGGGATTGTGAGGTTGGGAAACTGTAAGATCGGGAAACAAAGGAACAATACAGATAGTATGTGCCTCAAACTCAGCCTTGAGAGCCAGTCACGAGCATGAGATAACGCAGTCACAGGCGCAAGCTGATAGCATTCTGTTCTTTGTAAGAAGCCACAAACTTCTTGTTCACAGTTAGGCTTATCTAGGCTTCCTGCAGCTGCTTCTTCCCACCCACACTGAGGCAAGCCAAAGGTGGTGCCCATATTTGATAATGAGCAACATGAATAGAGTAGATTGAACAATGTATTAGACACGTGTCAAACTTGCATAGATAGATTGTAAGCCAAGCCTCCAAATGAGGGCGGCAGCTAGGTATAAAACTGTTGTACTGAAACTTGATCGGGGCTCTTCGTATCCACGGGTACGAGGAGTCCGCCTTTGCAAACGCGCTGAATAAAAGGGTTATCCTTATGCTGGAGTCTTAGTCCTTTGTCTCCACGAATAATATCTAACACTAGGGACGCGGGTGGCGCTGTGGGTTAAACCACAGAGCCTAGGACTTGCCAATCAGAAGGTCAGTGGTTCGAATCCCCGCGACGAGGTGAGCTCCTGCCAACCTACCAGTTCAAAAGCACGTCAAACTGCAAGTAGATAGAACGGTACTGCTCCGGTGGGAAGGTAAACGGCGTTTCTGTGCGCTGCTCTGGTTCGCCAGAAGCGGCTTAGTCATGCTGGCCACATGACCCGGAAGCTGTACGCCGGCTCCCTTGGCCAATAAAGCGAGATGAGTGCCTCAACCCCAGAGTCGGTCATGACTGGACCTAATGGTCAGGGGTCCCTTTACCTTTACTTTATCCCAGGTCCTAATACAAAACTTTAACCACTACACCCTACCCTGACTCTCGTAGAGCAGTGGTTTCCCAAAGTGTGCTAGTTCCAGGTTGTGGAGCTCCATCACATGAAGTTTATTTATTTAAAGGAGGGTTTGTTGCACTAGGGCAACAGAGTGCTTTAATCCACTTTAATTTCACAGTATTTCTGGCATGCCTTTGAATCCCTGTAGCAAAAATACATCTAGAGGTGACCTCTATGCACTTTGAAAAGCATATTCTTAGGGGCCTGCTATTCAAAGGGCAGGAGGGGAAGGCAAAAATCTTCTCCCCTAAAACAAAAATCACACTTGGGCATGCTTAAAAGTTGATATTTGGATTGTGGCCAATATGTTTGCTTTCCACCTTAGGAGCCTAAGTGCCATCTTTTCGGTTATGCTATGTGAGAAATAACTTGGAATGGCAATATCCTATCAGTCCTTCTTAAGTAGTAATAGTACACTGGGGAAACTGGAGTTGGAAAAAGTACTTTGAAAGTGCTTTAATTTGCAAATTCCCCGTGGCCTGTAGCGCATGAACCCTTGGCACAAATGTGTTCTTTTTCAAGTACAGTTTACAGCAGAGGACGAGAAATTGCATCACACTTTTCTCATCTCTTCTCAGATTTCCTTAGGATCGCTGATTGCAACACTCCAGGCTATTGTGTTGCTCTGGGTGGCTGAGTGCAAATGATCATTTACAGAAACGAAAGCTATTCCAGAGTTGAACCATGAACTGGCTTACTTTTAATCACAAACCCTGAGGTACCAGTGGGCTCCAGCTGAGGGATAGGACCACAGGGTTCAGGCTTTTTATTCTCTGCTACATAAAAAAAGAGTAGACTAAGAAGTTTGTTTTTTAAAAAATATAAGAAAGGTTTTTATAATCCTGGGCGTTTGGTCAGCACTGATGATTGGACATGCACAGATAAACATCATCTGGAGGGCACCATGTTGGCGATTACTGCCCTTTGTTAGTAGATCTCCACCAATGCAAGGCCCCTTGTGCTAGCAGACAGACAAGTGTTGGATGGAACTCATAGTTTAAACAGATAATAGGGGTAGATAAACAACCTTATCAAGAGCATTCTACAACAAAGGGGCCACCACCGAGAAGAAGGTGATATATTCAGAGAAATAATAATAATAACAATAATATAAATTTTATTTATATCCCGCCCTCCCCAGCCGAAGTCGGGCTCAGGGCGGCTAACAACAATAGAATAGTACAGCATTCTAAAATCATTTCATTATAAAATTAATTCAAATCAAATTGATGGCAAGCACTAGGCTAGAGTTCTGTGAAGATTGCCAAAGGAGAGAGTCAGGCTTTGCCCTGGCCAAAGGCCTGGTGGAACAGCTCTGTCTTGCAGGCCCTGTGGAAAGATGTCAAGTCCCGCAGGGCCCTAGTCTCTTGTGACAGAGCGTTCCACCAAATCGGAGCCACAGCCGGAAAAGCCCTGGCTCTAGTTGAGGCCAGCCTAACCTCTCTGTAGCCTGGGACCTTCAAGATGTTTTTATTTGAAGACCGTAAGTTCCTCTGTGGGACATACCAGGAGAGGCGGTCCTGTAGGTATGAGAGTCCTAGGCCATATAGGGCTTTAAAGGTTAAAACCAGCACCTTATACCTGATCCTGTACTCCACCGGGAGCCAGTGCAGCTGGTATAGCACTGGGTGAATGTGATCTCGCAGCGAGGACCCCATAAAGAGTCTCGCCGCGGCATTCTGCACCCGCTGGAGTTTCTGGGTCAGTCTCAAGGGCAGCCCCATGTAGAGCGAGTTACAATAATCCAGTCTGGAGGTGACCGTCGCATGGCTCACAGTGGCTAGGTCAGGGCAAGAGAGGTAAGGAGCCAACTGCTTAGCTTGGCGGAGATGAAAAAATGCCGCCTTTTTTGTAGCTGCAATCTGTGCCTCCATGGAAAGGGAGGTGTCGAAGATTACACCCAAACTCTTAACGGACAGTGCTGGCACTAATTGCACCCCCACAAGAGATGGGAGTTGCCCCCCCCAAGTCATTCAAAGCACTCTATATGGAAATGCAGGCAACTCCCCATTTACATGGGTGTTGAGTCCCAAGGCAAGTTCCAAGTGAAATCATGTATATTTGAAACACTATTGGAAAAATCTGCAAACACCTTCTAAACCTCTGGAAAGCCTTGGAAAACTCTTTAAAAATACCAGCAGCACTTATGTTATGTACTGAGTTGAATAGGATCCAAAAGGCAGCAGTCTGATTGGTCCTAGAACAATAGGGTCCAGAATGCAGCAGTCTGATTGGTCCACAGGAGCCACCCAATCCAGCTCCAGGTGGAAGTGAATCTGCAACCAGATTGGCCTACAGGTGAATCCCGGAATTAGCCAATCACGTGGGGCCCATTGTGTAAATAATGTATATAAAGCAGACATTCTGGGGGAACTTCCATCCCATCCCTCCTCACCACTATAAGCTGAATAAAGAGCATGAAATCCACTCTCAATGGATCAGTGCAAGGGCTCCTGGGATTGTATTTGCAAAGGTTCATGGGATTTCTGTTTTCATGACTCCCCTCCCTTCTATTTTTAAAGTCACTTCCTGGTTCAGCATGATGTGCGTGTGCCTGGCCACGCATCAGTTGGACGTGTGTACATTGGGTGTTGCCCATACCGGGGGCACAGTGCTGTTCTTAGAGTTTTCTTGGAGATTCCCCAGTCATTTTGAACTTGGTGCTACCTGGGCCCTTTTCACACTTCCCCCCACAAAACGGTCTGCATACTGAACAAGGTGGAGACAAAATAAGAGACAATATGGCAAAGGTGGACTTCCAGATGTTGCTGGACTTCCATCTCCCATCAGTTTTAGCTAGCACAGCCAATAATCTGGTTCCAGCAGAAGGTGCAGCACCATGAAAGCACGACACATAAGCAACCTTGAGGCTAAAGCTGATGACGGTTTATTTTAGTATCTTGTGGTAAGGAAGAACGTTAAGCGTTGAGGTGAAGGCCCGTATGTCCATAACAGAAGGGAGATTCAGCAGGGGAGAGGAGGGGAGGAATGTTAGTTCAGCTGTTTTGCCAAAGAAAGTCCCCTGAACGCTGTAGGTGCGTGAGAAATCCGTGTTCCCTTCCTGTTTGCCATAGCCAACCACCTGTGAATTCAAAGGCCAAGCAGTTACCAAAGCAGCAAACACCTGGGGCCTAAAAGTTCAAACAGAGTCCGGTCTCCTGCAAGCACAATCCCGACATCATGTTAATTATGTCATTTCTGACAGGCTTCCTATCAACCGATGATACGTGAACAGACTGTAGGCACGCTTTTGCATATGACAAACTTGGCCCAAACATCTGGGTTACTGCAAAATGATTTCCTGGTGTACAAATTCAGTAAGCATACAGCAAGCTTGCAGGGGAGATGGGGGCACAGGTTTGTTTTGGCAAGCACATTATCTTATAAACGGAAAGTTGCTGGTTGGGTAATATTGGGTGCTTGAAGCCAATTTGGAGATGAATGTATCGGATTTCACTTCAGATGGCAAGCACCACAGTGCAAAATCCCTAAAACAAACTCCACCTGCAAACTTTATCTAGTAATGTAGAACCCTAATAGTCAAAATTGTGCCCTCCAGGTGTGGCTCATCTACATGTCCAGTTGTCCCTCTACGCTGGCCACGCTGGTTGGAGCTAATCATAGAACTGTAGAGTTGGAAGGGACCCTGGGAATCATCTAGTCCAACCCTCTGAAACACAGGAATATGCAGCTGTCCCATACAGGGACTGAACCTGCAACCTTGGCATTATCAGCTCTACCAGCTGAGCTATCTCTGTGCTTTTTAATGGGAGGTGAAGTCTGGCAACATCTAGAGGGAACCACTCGGCAAACCTTGAGATAGGATGTTAAATGTAGAAACTTTAAAATTTGAGATTGACTTCTAATACACTGCAGACCTTATTGAGAGAAAAATGAAGATCTCATCACTTTTTTTAAGCCAATTAAACCCCCATGAAACAAACAAACAAACAAACAAACAGCTGAGAAGATAACAAACCTGTAAAAGTAAGGAACATTTCCTTAATGAGTTCAGATGCCTGCGGTTTTTAAGAAAGCCAAAGGTCATGAGATGGAAGAAACATTGATTAAATCTCAAAAATAACCAAATCAGTGTTGTACAGCTCTGACTGCAAACATAAGGATTTTGAGTAGGTAGTATGGAATATTTGTTGATTTTTATTTGTGTGTGTGAGCATGGCATAGAAGTCATAGCTCAGAGACAGGACACCTGCTTTCCATGCAGAAGAAACTTTGGCATCTCTAGGCAGGGCTGGAAGAGGCTCCTGTCTATAATCCTGAAGGGTTGCTGCCAGTCAGTGTACACAATGCTGAGCTAGATGGATCAAGGGTCTGACTTGGCATAAGGGATTTTCTTATGGTCCAGAGTGGTGAATTTTAGTGTGGTGTGTGTCTGTGTTAATGAGTTGCAATCTCTGTTTTTCTAAATATCCAAAGCAGAACCTACAGTACTAATCTCCCCATGCTTCCACAGGCAGGGAGACATGCGTCCTCCCCACAAGGGAAATGTGCAAGTTCTTCTTCTGATATTACAAAACAGGAAGCATAAGTGTGAAATTGTGCAAGAGAACAGAAAGTACATCTCATAATGATGCTTCCAGGTCACCATACCAGAGGCTCAAAGCTACAAAGGGGGCAAGATTCCATTAGTCTAGAATTACAGGTTCTGCCGTCAAGCGGTTAGCAGATGTTTCATTCTTAGTGTAACAGAAGAATGTGTGAGAGAAGGATTGGCAGCAGGGGAGTGTGATGGAATGGTGGGTGGTGACTGAGTGACAGGCGGACCAAGACTTTGCCTAACAATGACAGTTAGGGAGCTAGATAGTTGGACAAAGTTGAAGGAAGAGTGGGAAGAAGATGGAGAGTTATCAGAGACAATGAAGATGCAGGTAAAAAGATGGGGAGTTAGGACAGGTGATAAAGAGGGATGTCAGGTATCTTATAACTGCTATTTGTTAGTTCTTTACCAAACAAGTTGCTCTTGCTGTTCTTTTCCACAAATACACATTTTCAATTCATGAATGTGTCCTAGATCTGGAGGATTTTAGATTAGACAGGGGAAGCCGATGTGGTGCCCTCCATTTCCCATCAGAGCCAGCCAGCTTGGCTGATGGTTAAGGATGATGGAAGTTGTAGTCTAGCAACATCTGCAAGGCACCTGTTGGCTATCCCTGGGTTAGGGCATCGTCCCCTGTGCTGGCTTTGAATGACACAGACAAGTAAATAAAAGGAGAGTCTTCCTACTGCTCTCTGTAAATCAGTAGCACACAATAAGTTATTGAGGGAAGCCTGGACTCAAGGGCCAAGGTATAATAAGGGACTAGAATGCCACTGTTTCAAGTGCGAGACTGGCTTCATTATTTTCAGATAATGGAGGCATTTAAATCGGACAAGAAAATTGGCTTCCAGGTGGAAAGATCCAAATTAGAAACAGAACTGTTAGAACCCAAAACCAAGAATTTGTCAAGAATGTATAACTTGCTGCTGAAATGGAATACTCAGGATGAAACGGTAAAATCGGCTATGATTAAATGGGCACAGGACATTGGACATAACATTATGTTTGCTGACTGGGAACAGTTGTGGACCACAGGTATGAAATTTACGGCATGTAATGCCTTAAGAGAGAATATTATGAAAATGATATACAGGTGGTACATAACCCCAGTCAAGCTTGCAAAAATTTATCACTTGCCCGATAACAAATGTTGGAAATGTAAAGAAACTGAAGGTACATTTTTTCACCTTTGGTGGACGTGCCCAAAGATTAAGGCTTTCTGGGAAATGATATATAATGAATTAAAAAAGGTATTTAAGTATACCTTCCCTAAGAAACCAGAGGCCTTTCTCCTGGGCATAGTCGGCCAAATGGTGTTAAAAAAGGATAGAACTTTCTTTATGTATGCAACAACAGCAGCAAGAATACTCATCGCAAAGTATTGGAAGACACAAGAACTTCCCACGCTGGAGGAATGGCAGATGAAACTTATGGACTATATGGAACTGGCGGAAATGACTGGTAGAATCCGTGACCAGGGAGAAGAGTCGGTGGAGGAAGATTGGAAGAAATTCAAAGACTATCTTCAGAAACATTGCAAAATTAAAGAATGTTAGAGTGATGTTGGACTGAAAATAAGCGGTTTCCAGCTGTACAGGTTAAGGTTAATGACAGATTAAGACTAAAGATTAGGATTAAAGATGTTTAATGAAATGGAAATTTGACAATTAAGAGGTAAAATTTTAATGTTACATTACATTAAGACTAAAGATTAGGTTTAAAGAAGTTGAAGTTATATATTTCAATATTATATTAAATTAAAGACTGGGATTAAAAGGTGGAAAAGAAATTGCTGGACAAACAATTTGGATTGGAATACAAAAGAGGGAGGTACGAGGAAGTCCAGAAAATAAGTAAATTTAAAAACGGAAATGGAAAAGAGATATTGTTTTTAATTGTTATGTTCTTTTTTATTGTTGATTTTTGTCTTTTGTGGGTTTTTTATTTTCTCTTTGAGATTTGTATGGTGTATCTGTGTATATTTTTTTGATGTTTTTCCTTTCTTTCTTTGTTGTTTAATTTCTGATTGAAATTTTAATAAAAATTATTATAAAAAATAAAAAAATAAAATAGAATGCCACTGTTTCTATCCATCTATAGGCAAAAGCAAGAGAGGGACAATGGATGTTGCTCTTACCATTTTATAGTAAGCTACATTCCAGCCAGGCAAAAGCCAGGGGTTTCTACAAGCACTCAAACACACAAATGACTCTCCAACTAGGTAAGCAGAAGGCCTTACCTAGGCCACATTCTAGGTAGTCTAAAGCATTCAAGGAAGGCATGAACCAGGTTTGAGTGAGAAATGAGGCCTGTGGGGGGAGGAGTCCAAGGGCCAGACAGAGAGGCGTTCGACCCCCAGGACTTCAGTTCCCCATCCCTGATATATATATATATATATATATATATATATATATATATATGGCATCCATTGATACTCCCTCCCATAAGTTCCATATCTATCTGAGAGCACACATACTCTGATTTCAGGTATACTCACATGGGTGCTCAGCACTCGTTTGTTCTTGCCCCTGAATCCTAGGAACCAGTCAAGCAAATGGGATTTTCTAAAGCTCTTCAGGGCTACAATCTATAAGCCATAAAGAAAGAGAGCTTCTTAGGACAGATACACACTCCTTTGTGTCCTCCATCCAACAAGCAAGAGACATTATCAGACACATACCAGACAGGCAAAAACTCTCAAGAAGGGTGCAAAGTAGGACTGTGGCCAAGGAGGAGGCTTTGCTTGGTTGGGAAGGGCAAGACAGAGAGACCCAGAGGACCACATTTTGGACCCTGGAACTGAGGCTCCCCACCCCTGATATAGACCTAAAACAAAATGCAGATATTGCCCTAGGAGGAGTGTATGAGCATTATAAATGAGACCATTACATAAATTCCTCCATAGTTTCTTTTCCCTTTCCCCAAAGTAGAGATAAACCTTGAACCATCTTATACGGGATAGTTTATCTTGCAGTCCTATGCCCATTGACTTGGAAAGAATGCCAGTTGAAAGGCTTGATCTGGATGTATTAAGAAAAATATAAGGGATATGCTACACATCAGTTTGGCTGTTTACAGGGATTCTCATTTTTGAATCTGCCCAGCGCAACTGTTCCAACAGCCCCGTACACTCGTCACAATGTATAAACTCACATTAACAAGCTTAGCAGAACAGTCACCCCAGCTTGGGGCAGATGGGAGGCAAGCTAGATGTTGATTCCTACAAGTGAGAGAAAATCTGACACCAATTTAAGAAATTTCCCCCTGTAACCACATTTTGGGATCTTGAAGATCTCAAGGCACAGCTGCCTCACACATGACAAACACTGAGAGAACATTCAAGTAGTAAACGAGCTGTTCATTTTCACTTGTGAAGAGCTGTGTGTTAATTTTTTTTTTGCTTTGTTTTGCAAGAGCATAATTCAATTAGGAAGCCTAGATCTCAGGTCTCCCCTTTTGGCCTTGTCAGCACCATGTAGGCAATCACACACAGTCAGCCCAGTCCCACAAAGGCAATAAACCATCCCCCCCTTCATTTTATGGACCAGGAGCAAAGCCACTTAACGATTACAACAAACAATTAACAAGAGATGAAGACGGGTAGCGTTTTACTATTTACTACCTCTCGGGCAAGTCTGTCAAACACGTACTGCTGAGTAAGCACTTCGTTCCAGTTCCTGTCCACCTCTTCCCCAAGATGGGCATCGTCAGTTTGCTTAAGCTTTATGAGAGCTGAGACCTGTAAAACATGCGGCTCCTGTAGGAATGTCTCTGCTTTTGACAAAGATCTGCTTCCAAAAACTGTATGTCTCAAAGCAAAACTTGCACGTTTTGCAAGCAAAACTTGAATGTTTGTTTCTCGTTCCAAGGCATGCACTCCTTTTATGCTCCGATCCAATGAACAGGCAGGCAAAATCTGTGCCTCCATGCAGCAGTGGATAAGCACAGAGAGACAGCAAAATTATGGTGTGGCAGCAATCTATTTGACCTTTATAGCTGAACTTAGGGCTTGTCCATTCTTCCGCTTGTCTCAGTGCTTTCTCCCAGGAAAACCTACACTTTAGCACTGAATTAGAGCAAACCAGGTGTGATATTAACATATGAGAGTGCTGGATGAGAAATAGTTAAACAGGTTACCCAATCAGGACCCAGGGGGTGGAGTCAGAGGGACTATAAAACCAGCTCTGGGAGGGGCAAAGGGAGGAGTTCGTTGGGTTGGTGTGGGAGTGAATTGGGATAGAGTTTGTGGGTAGGTTGAGTTAGTGTAGTGAAATAAGCTGAGTCAGGAACAGTTAGGGGTAGGAAGACAAGTAAATATCTGAGAGGTGGTTTAGTGAGTGAGAGCAGGTAGTGGAAGTTATAGGTCTGGATAGGCACCCCACATTTGTAATTGACGGATACCGTTTATGAAACCACACGCTTGTTGAACTGCAACAAATAAACAGAAGTTTATGTTCCAATTTAACCCTGACTGGACTCAGTATTGTACCAGGTAGGGCCTGGGTGGTGGCAGCGAGAAATAAAGTGGTGGCACAGGGATCAATAGACGGTGAAGCATCCGGGGACCCTGCGTGATCACCACACCAGGTATCCAGCAGATTGATTCAGTGGTAAAGAGCAGGCTTTCCAAGGGAAAGTGGTGGGGAAATGGAAAACAGCTCGGATCCAGGCATAGAAAGCACAGGACAAGCAGACAACCTCTTGGATCCATAATTCAAGGCAAGGGACAAGTGTAGTGTATATGATCCTTTGTTGGTTGCTGGCATCCATCTGTCTTGAGAGACAATGGAGTATGCCTCCGAGGGTGAAGTCAAACTGCTATGTTAGCAGGACCGAAGTGACCTCCCTAGGGCGCAAGGCTGGGCAGTGTGTATAGAGATCCTGGGCTGCCCAGACGACAATCCCCCACCATGGCCTCACTTATGTGGTCAAAGGAAATCAGAGCAATACGTTTGGCACCAGCTTGGCTGCAGGAGTTGCCGGAAGGAGGCATACAAGGCACCATCTTAGGGACTCCACTCCAGATTTGTGTAAGGCTTACTCCTTTGCCTTATTTTCTCTTGCAGATGTCCCTCAAGATGTCCAAGATAAATGTTCAGGTGCCTAAACCAGTCTGGATGCAATGCACAATGTAAAACAAGCCACAAGTCTTACCTGAGCAGAGAATTCATCTTCAGTTAATTTCCGGAGCTTTTCTTCAAAGTGCACAAAGAACTCTTCTATTTTTTTATCAACAAATTCAGTGCTAAAAGTTATCAAAGGCATTAATAAGAAGTTTAGTTGTTATTGACCTAGCTCCTTATGTGCCCACATGACCTCTTAGATCTGCGGAACTGGCACTTTTACAAGTGCCACATGATATATGTATATTCTGCAACAAATCGAGGGCATGGCAGGTGCCACTCTTGGAAACTCCCTTCCCATTGATAGCAGGCAGTTAACTGACTTCACTGTATTGTTTGTTTTCCATGCCTGCAAGCAACATTTTCTTTTCCGCAAGTGCATAATTTTTGCATGCCATATTAACATGTAGTTTTTTAGTTGGTAACATTGTTTTTAAATTAATGGCTTTAAAAAAATGTAACTTGTTTTTAATGTTTTCTTTTATTGGCATTTAAAAAGTGAATATTTTAGGTTGTCTTTTGTAAGACGTGTCTTTATTTAGTTAAGTTATGTATATACCACTCAATAACTGAAGTTTCTGTATGGTCCTTTGTTTTAGGAAGCGGTGCATGCATTTTGTTAGAGGAAATAAAATTTCACATAGGAATTCACAAAGATTGAATTCCGCAGCAAGCATCCCAAAAAGGAAGCAAAGGGACCAACAAGAAACCAGAGTGTCCTGAAGCTTTTGGTATATCATGCACCTGCTAAGCCTGGGGAGACTGAATCTGACAGGCCTCAAATGAAAAATAATAGTAGCACTTGTGTGGAATGTATTGCATTCAACAAAGGTAATATTTTACAGCTGGTTAATTAAGATAACAATTTCTCTCAAGCAAACAATAGGGAACTCATTTGTTGCTTGAAGATTCATCTCAAACGCACTGCCCGAATATAAACATTCTCAGGTTCTTTATATTACCAGCAATGAGCATATTTTCACAGGCAAGAGCTTCATAAAAAAAAAAAAAAAGGAACAGTGCTGGCTGGTGATCTTGGTTCAGCTAATTGATTAATTATGACAACTACTCAACTGAGACTTTAAAATCCAAGAATCATATTTACAGCACATAGAAGAAACAGGTGTTTTAAATTCTGGGGGTGACAGCTGTACACATTTGGAAACTGAAACTTGGTTTTTAACACGCTGCAATAAGACTAGGACAGGCAATCAAGCAGGGGGGTTGTGGAATCCAGGATTTTGTTTTTCTAGCTTTGTTTTTTGAAAAACACTGGGTCCTTTAGGTTAGATTCAGACTTTGACTTTCAAAACCCTTCTGTGCCATGGAAGGCTTTTGATCCAGTGCTGCTTCCACTGGAGGTAGGGGAGGCAACATTTGCTTATTAATTAATTAATTAAGCCATTAATTAATTAATTAATTAATTAAGCCATTAAGTCTGAGCTCTTCTACATTTGTTTCAAAGCAACATATGAAATAAAGGATTTTATGAACTATATAGTCTTATAAAGTCTACCTTTATTAGACAGCTCCCAATCCGGCCAAAGTCCGATGTGCTGTTAAGGCAACTGGACTTACGTTAACCACAATGGCTGTGTTGGACCAATAACACCTGAACTTAATAAGCCAAGATACATATGAGTCTGCTGTCCCCTCATGCAGCCATTTCCTATCTGAACAAACAAGCCAGGATGTTTTCATTCTATCAGTCTTGAAAAATGGTTTGTGCATCTGTTTGGTTTCTATAGGTTGGGCAACCTCTCAAGATATCATCACCAAGCTTGTCACAAGGACTCCAGAAGTGGTGTTTGTTGTTGATGTTTGGGTGCTCACCACCAGTTTGAATCAAGATGGTGGACCCAAATGTCACTTTGTTGTGACATTGTCCTTTTTTTTGGCATAGGCACAGCCAGCCGAATCTTGAGATATCAGGGCCAAACTCATTGTTCCTTTAGTTTTTAGCGTGATTAATTGTACTTGCCTCCAGGCCTCCAGACAACTCATGTAGAAAAGCTTATACAAGGAAACACATAATGTATACATAAGCAAATGCATCTTGCAAAAGACACTAAGATTCTCAAGCGCTTTGGAAGAGAGCAGTAGAAACATTATTAATGGGGAATTATGGGACATACAATGCACCTTGGCTGCAGTTTATACTCTAAACATGTCATAGCTGTTTTGGAAAAGTGCAGGCCTATGCAGAGCCCTAGAATGTTCAGAGCCCTAGGATGGAAACAATAATATTAAATTTAACTGCTCTTGAAAAAATATTAATAGGCGACTTACTTATATTTGGTTGCCTGTGTTGTTACGGTAACAGAGAAACCCAGGATTCCAGATGTATTTCTTGTGGAAGGGTAGACATGGTAGCTTAAATCAAAGGAAAAGAATAACATTCCACAAGCACAAGTCATTTTATTCTGATCATTAACAAGTACTAACTAGTATATGGGAGCTATCCATCAAAACCGGTTCTCCCACATGTTCAATTAAAGTGCATGGAAGCAATACTTGGTAGATGGTTCAGATTGCATCATTAGAATTAGTGCTTTAAACCAGTGATTTCATTACTGCCTTTCAATGTGCCAGCTGCCTAAATGGAAGGCACATTTCAAGATTTGTTCTAACTACATGAGTTGTACTTTTTTCGGGCTAATTCTGTACACCTTACCGTAACAGTTGTGACATTTGTGACTACAGCATGGCACCATGTATTAAACTGTTTTGGGGATTTTGTGTTTGCATTGTGTCTGCACCAAAACTGAAATTGCTGAACAGCTGGAGAGGCAGAACTTCAAAGGTTTTGGTCCCTAGTTCTTGGTAATAGGAGCATGAGAAATTTCGCATGCAGACAAAACCTAGAATGGGCTGGAGTTGGCCCCTGAAGCATCTTTATTTAACTTCCTCCTGCCACTACTATTTCTTTAATACCAGATTTGAATTAGATGTAATAAAGGGTTAGCTCTCAGAGTCATCCATTGGAAGATGATATCCAGCATTACTCATATTTAGAGTAACTTTATTCCATAAATTTCAGTGGGTTTACTCTGATAATGACTAGGACATTACTCACAGAGCTTTTGGATGCAATATCATCCAAGTCTTGTACTGTTGCCTAATGTGCATTTTGGAAAGGGCTACTGCTGATTTTCTTATTTGGGGCTTCTTTTTTTTGCAAGCTCATTTACACTTCATTAGTGACTTTACAAGCACACATGGTGTATATCTGTAAAACCTTTATTGCTGGAATAATAGAATGATAGGGTCATCTCTAACTCCCTGGGGCTGGACTACAACTCCCATTATCCCTGGGGCTGATGGAAGCTAGGGTCCAACAATATGTGCTGGATACTACATTAACCATCCCTGGGTTAGGGGATACCAGCTGTATTACAAAGCCTGAACATCTCTGAGTTTTGAATTTTTGACTGTCCCCCTTCCCTATGACATGTCTGGACTGGTGAATGAGGGGGCCTCCAAGAACACAGAATTTGGTGACCCCTGACTTAAACACATTCCATATTTCTATCTATTATTAAATAGCAGGAAGAAGTCAGAGAAATCAAGTACTCTGAAATTCTTGTATATGGAACGATATTTACTGCAAAGCCTTTCTTCAGATGGCAAACTCACCCCAGGGTATTCTTTGTTCGCAAGAAGTCAAAGCATGGCTCCTCCATATGCATCTGAAACGGAACATGATATTTGCAGGGATATTTTCTTTGACCCAAGGAACAAATATTCAACATACAATAAACAATAAACCTCAACACGCGTGACTCTTTTTCTCCCCGCTTTAAAAAGTTACCAGGTATTGAAAACTTACCTTGGCTGACACTCATCATTTGAGAGTATATTAGGGTGCATTTAAAAAGAAATGATTCCATCATCAAGGAGTTCACACATTATTTTATGCCACGCCTCCTCTTTGGCAGCCATATGATGCTGCAGCCCAGTGAAGTACAATAAAGGAAAATGGAAGGCAGGGAAGACTTCAACTGGGGAGCTGTTGTAGGGGCTGCCACACCCTGGATCCCATCAGGGCTTGGGTTATAATGTAGGATGGTGTCCAAACCACAAAAGATGGTGAACAAACCACTTCACTGAGAACAAACTCTTAATACACATTAAACATGAGAAAAGTGAAAGGTAAAGGTAAAGGTAAAGGGACCCCTGACCATTAGGTCCAGTCGTGAACGACTCTGCAGTTGCAACGCTCATCTCGCTTTACTGGCCGAGGGAGCCGGTGTACAGCTTCTGGATCATGTGGCCAGCATGACTAAGCCGCTTCTGGCGAACCAGAGCAGCGCACGGAAATGCCGTTTACCTTTCCGCAGGAGCGGTACCTATTTATCTACTTGCACTTTGACATGCTTTCGAACTGCTAGGTTGGCAGGAGCAGGGACCGAGCAACGGGAGCTCACCCCGCTGCGGGATTCGAACCGCCGACCTTCTGATCGGCAAGTCCTAGGCTCTGTGGTTTAAACCACAGCGCCACACCAGTATTATTATTATTATTAATAATATTAATATTAATATTATTTTGCAACTGACTCCAGATCTAGTCTCTAGAGTTTGTGAACTTAGTGTAAAACCTGGACTGGAGATGATCCAGACTCTGGAGAACTGGAACACATAAAATGCAACTAGGTTCCTTACATTACATCCCTCTTTTCTTGCCACTAAACGAAAACTCCCATTGCCGTGTTGCTAATTCAACAGACCTACTGAACAAACTGCACGTTACATTAGCTTGTTCCTGAACCTTGGACATTGTGTTTACATAATCAGCAACTGGACAGCATTCTGGGGAAGAAGAAAATGGGCATTCCAATCTGCAGTGGGCAAAGTTCGTCAATGCCCAATAAGAATGATACCCCTGTTTGTGTTGCATTTATATTTCACACTTTTCAAATGATACACCAAAAGCCTGAGGATACACATTAAGAAAAGCTTACCACAAGCAGTTCTGTGAGGGAGTAGTCTTTTAAATTCTTTGCACCAGTCTTAAGCAAGAGAGAGAGGGAGAGAGAGAGAGAATAAAACAGTCATTAACGGGTCTTTGTTTCTCTATGAACCTGAGAGCTCCATTCAAGTCTCTGAGTTGCCACAGTGAAACTTAATAGTGAAGAATATCAGTAGTTTTCTAACTTCCTGTCTTTAGGGAGCCTTACCATACCTACCCCTGTTTTTGTTAAGGAAGTCCTGTCACATAAAGTTGCCAGTCAACCTAGCTGAACTTGACTTTTGTCCCACACAAACTGTGTGGTTTTGAATGCATTCTGGGGGACAGCTGCTCATGGCTGACAATCTGTTTTTCATAGAAGCTTCTTTGTCATGACATTCTCCTCAATGAAAAATTCCAGTCTAGTATCTGGGCCTCTTTTCCTAGAAACCCACGTTTCCTAGAAACAGAGCTTGACAATTACTTTCTTGGAACATTCTCCATGGATTTTCTATGGCATGAATGCCTGTTAGGACACAATTTGGTATGGGGTGAGAATTTGAAGGAGCAGAGGTGCCTGGCAGTGCCAGCCCCACTTCCTGAAATTATGCAAGGGGCAACTAATCATCCCCACCTTATATTGATCTGAAAGGAGAATAGGGTTGAAATTCAATGGATAAACCATCTCCTTTAATTTTCTTGCCTTTTAAGTTTAGGCAAGAGAATGTGGGTTAAATAGCAATTGTCTAGGTCAGAGGGTGGGCATTCTTTGGGAGCATTCATTCAGTGGGTGGGGGTCAGGGTTGCATCCTGGTAGTGGGTGAGGCTAGAGTAAAAATGGATGGGGTACCCCATTCCCTTTCTGCTACCCTTTTTTCTTTTTCTGCCACCCCCTCTCTCACCTTTTCTTACCCCATTCTCCTTGTATTCCCACATCCCTGAAATTAGCATGGTGGCCATATGCTGCTCCCCCCACCCCAAAGTCTAGCTAGGCACTCCTATGTTTTAGAATAGCAAATAGTAGGGCTGGACTTCAGAACCCCACAGCTCAGGCAGGGCCCCAAATGAGATATGCAAATGATGGGGGCAGTATTTAAATGCAACAGAAACCTAATGCAAATGGGGAGAAAATGGAGTAAATTATGAAAGTGAATATCGATCCTATTTGCTGGACTGGTTTCCATTCTGGACATAGGACAAATAAGCAAACACCAGCAATTTCTGATCCTTTTCCCAGTCAGGATTCCCCACCATCCCTAATGAATACAAAACCCAACATAAAGGCAGCAATCCTTTAACAGTTTCTGAGGGAGTAAGTCCCATGGAACTCAATGGAGCTTACTTCTCAGTAGTAGCACTCAGGATGCACTGTAATAGGTCCGAGTCTACAATACCTGATAGTAGACCGTCACATCAGAGTTTGGATCGCCTGCGTGAAGGGATTTCACTTTACACAGAATGTGAGTGTTTGGCAGTTCTATCACCCGAAACTGAATAGGGCATGGGTGTATGAGAGGAACAAACTGTAATTTTCTGAAAAGAGAGAGGGGCAAAATGAAAGAGGAGCCACCGTTTCTCATCTTCATCATATGAACATATTTGTGAAGGAAGTAATCATCACAGATACGTTTATATTCACACTTGTACTTTCTACCTATACGATGCACACCAGTACTTAGCCTTAGGTGTACCCTGAAGTGGTAGACTGCTCCCATGAATAGCCAGTGTTTGCCTCCTGACCTTTATCTCCTCACAGTTACTTGAACTTCAACAAACTTGCACCAAATATAAAATACCAATACTCTGGTAACAGCTAGGCTTGACTACTACAAAGAGTTACATAGATGTTTGGAGACCAGCACTGTTGAGACACAACCCTGATGGGATGGCAATAAGAGTGTCCCTGTTCAAGTATTGTTTGTTTGTTTGTTTGTTTGTGGAGTGCAACTTACGTGTGTTGAAATGTAAGAGGAACGTATGATGCATGTGTATTGGCAGATGTGTGAGAGTGGACTAGGATGACCAATATTAAATGAGTAGCAAGTATTGTATGATTTGAGGACAAATGACTCAAGCATGACTGTGAAAGTTCTGCTCCCCCACTTTTTAAAAAAATTAATCACAACTTCCTGTGCGATCCAAACCTGACAAACTGTGGTTAATATCACTGTGGTTTTTTGAAAAAAGCCCAATTTCATTTTGTACTTTAAGAAGTTGGTTTGTTTGAACAAATTATATTTAAGAGTAATCATTGCTTACATTTGAGATGTAACAATTAGATGTAGTTAATCTAAAACAGGAGAGGGACCCTCCAATTTTCTTCTCATGGCTGCACTGAAGAAGGAGAAGTCTGAGAGCCTGAAGTTCACTGCAGCTCATCTTTGTAATGCTAAAATGTGGTTTATTGTTACATCCAAACCATGACAATATATTTCATTCTTTTAAAAAATTAAGAGGAAAATCAAGGAAGGATGTTAATAAACATTTTATAGCATTCAGCAATGCTCATCGAAATGCAGTTTTCATTTAATAATAAACTGCGTGTTCAAAATAAAGAAACCTGACCAATTGCATCTTCCCTCTATCAGAACTCTATGTATATTTCTTAATAGTAAGAATCAAACCAGGATACTCACCCAGCAATATAATTCATAAAGTCCTTTGCTTCCTAGGACATAAGGATAAAAGATCAAACATTACTGAAATGAATGGGGCTATTTTCCAAATACGTACCCAATATAAACGGAACAAGGCATTTTTGCATTCATGGAAATCATATTTAGTGTTCAACAACTATGTCTATTTTGTTTGCTTCCATTGCAGGCAGAACCCAAATTTCAGCTGTCCAACTCTATACTCACATTGCTCATAAAGTTTCCTTGGACAAGTCCCTCTACCCACAGTTTTGATTTGAAAGCTGTCACAAATGCTTGCAGATCTTCTATGGTAATGCCACTACTAATAGTTTGATATTTTTCTACTAAAGACCACCTGCCATGCTCCAGAATCGAGAGTCGAAGATCTCTGTAAGATGCATCAGTAAATGTACGTTAATTTATTTTTTCACCATCTTGGGCTTTTAGTACCCCTAAAATGGCAACACTCAGAATAATTGGAAATGCAGCCTCAGCTAATTAAAATATATCAAAATAACAAATGCAAGAGGAATTGGTGAGATAATTTTGCTGTGTAGCCTCCCCACACTCCCAAGACAGCAATGAGGAACCTGTGGCCCTTCATATGTAGTTGGTCTCCCAAGTCCCATCAACCCCAATTGCCATGGCTAAAGGACATGTTTCCCTCACTCCCTTCTTTGTTAGATGGCCATAGGAACCTGTGCCTGGCAGTGTGGCATCTCTGGGATGGCAGGGTAGGCAGAGCCTTCCTTTTTCTCACTACTCCTCATGAGATCCTGCACGAGGCTGAGGAGGTCTTTAAAAAATGGTGACATGAGCAGTCATTTAATGCTTGGCAATCATTTTGATTCTTGCAAGTGGAAAATCAACACAAGACTCATATCAATCTGATCTTAGACTTATTCTTGGCTATATGTGAAAGTTTCTTTAGCAAAGCCGATTTTCTACCCCTGAGCCTTTCCATGTAGTCTCCCTGCAGACACTCACTTTGCCAGTGAATCTGTTTTGAGGAGATTGTTAAAATATGTCTTTTTTAGCTGTTCAATTATCATCTGGAAAGCTGAAGGCGAGACACTGAGGTTAGACAAGTGATCAATGATCAGTTGAAAGAGCAACTGCAAAGAAAAAAGGAAAATTTGACCAAATGAAGAGATACGTGGTACATGAACGTTTACTCAGAAGTAAGACATGCTAGTTCTGTGGGGATTGTCTTCAGGTAAGTGGGCACACAGTTGTAACCCAACAGACACCTCATGTTGTGTCATTGGCTATGCGCATCTCACCATTCTATAGTCAGACAAAACCCTCAACAGAAGGACCAGTCATGTCAGACAGAAACTCCCCAGATCATCCAGGAACCCATCAGATCTCATCCATCTCTGAGGGCAGAACCTCTTAATGGATCTCCCAGCCTTGAACAGTGGAGTGAATGAATCTTTATTGCTAGAAGCTGTACGCCGTCCTGAAGAGTGGAGTAGCTACATTCAGCTCAAATGTCATGAGGGAATGGATGGCCAATGGCAATGGATGTACAGTGATGCCCCCTCCAATCAGTGGAGTATTACCAATCAGTTCTGTGGCAAAGACCAGGTCGAGGATGCATCCATGCATGTGTGTGGGACCACTGATATACTGAGAAAGGCCCCATGTCTGTCATGGAGGCCCTGAAGTCCTGAGCTGGCCCATTTGAGGCAGCCATGACGTGAATACTGAAGCCCCCTAACACCACAATGAAAGGGTTCTCCAACACCACATCTAAGAGGACCCCCACCAGCTTAGTTAGGGAGACTGTAGCACAGCTGGATAGATGCTACACTAACAACATCCCTGTTCTGGCTCTCTGGACCAACATCACAAATAATCCTTCAACCTCAGGCATAGAATAGATATGATACCATAAGGACTACAGGAAGGACTCCTTATTCTTTCACCTTATTTAAGCTGCCCAATTTGATGATGACATTACCATGTACATGTTCACTGGGACCGACACAGATTAAATTGACTAAAATATATGGACTACTTACAGGTAGTTTATGGTTAAAGCCTTTCACTCGAATGACCAGACCATGTTCTTTGGCTATGATTTTGTATTCCATCTGAGCAACATCTGCTTGATATGCTGGTTCAGCAAGGTTGTGGGAAAGTGTGCTTACAAAAGTATCAAAAAGCACCATACTGGGTGGAGAAGAATAAGCGGAAATGTTTAAAACAGTGGACTCAAAGGAGTTCAAGTAATTCACAGGCTACACATGAAAGTGGGTGTTAGTACAATCTTATCACACTTAGGAAGGATAAAGTTTCGAACAATGAAAAATCCTCTTTACATGTTCTTGAAACAACTGTAATATCAAGATAGCAATCATATAAAGGCAGATGCCATTAATTTCTGTGGATTTTCATAAAAGGCATCATTTGACATTTGCTCTTTTTTAATTATGAAAAGATATGTAAAGACTATACAATATATTCATGCATTAACCGCCCTGAGACCTCCGGGTATAGGGCAGTATATAAATTCAATTAGTAATAGTAATAGTAATAGTAATAGTAATAGTAATATAAACACACACACATATAAAACTCAAAAAATCTCACTCTATCAATCATAGCATGTTATAATATACCACTATTATAAAAAGCACCTATTGTATTGTATTGTATTGTACTGTATTGTATTGTATTGTATGTAAACTATTGTATTATTATATTTCACCTAAATATATTTTTCAGTATTCAGAGTTTCTTACTGTACATTATTCATCACAATAGGGAGAAAGTGTCAAAGGAGGCTTGTTCTATTTTCCTTTATTTTTGGTCTTTGACTTTTTCAGGCTAAGGACATTGCTGTGAAATGAGAGTTAATTGTAAGAGGTGGAAATGAGAGCCTAATGGGAGTTCCCTAGATGATGCCTTCTCATAGTAGGAACTACAAGCTGTTATGAAGCAAAAGGGTCAATTCCAGCCATATTCAGAAGCCACAGATACTTTCCACTACATCCTGTATCTAGAAAAGCAGACAAATAAACGTTGAACACCGTAATATCGACTTGCCACTTTATACAATCCAGGCAACAGCAAATTAGGAAAAATGGAAAGTAATCTGAATAGAAATGTCCTCCTATCTCCCACTTAAATTAATGTAATATATTATATATCACTACTTACTTTAATGCAGACTGTTGTATCACTGGAGTCACCAGATAAAAACAGATAAATGCTGGGCAGGAGGGAGAAGAGAAACAGAAAAATAACTGAAGAATTAAAATTTCATGAACAAGGAGATTTAGTCAGGAGGAGGGGGGGAAATACACAGTCCTCAGACTTTTTGCCTCTGCCCCTCTGGGCTGTTGTACTTTAAAAAAAAGCAATTCCTGCACATTTTGGTGCTCCAGTGAGCAGGCTGATGACACCCTCTTTGTTTTTCAGTGGCCGCCTTTGGGCACAATTTCTATCAGTACCGAGTTTTGGCAATGAGTGGTGATTAGCACTATTCTAAATGTACATCCATTGGACAGTCTCCATCTGGACAGTGTGCAGGACAACACATTTGGGTAATGGGGTAGGGAGAAAGGAGACACAGGAGGCGGCCATACACCTAAACTCCTTTGCCCTGGCAATGTAGACCTTCAGGTCCATCCAGACATCAAGGGAGTGCAGAGCTGTCTCTAGAGAGTGAGAGGGATTTGGACAAAAGGTAGGAAATATCAATTCCGGTTGCATGTGAAAACAGGACGCTACCTTAGGAATGAAGGAGGGGCCAGTTCTGAGGGCTACTCTATCCCTATGAAAGGTGCAGAGATGTTTGGCTACTGAAAGGGTCCAAAGTTCAGAGACTCTGTGAGCGGAAGCGATAACTACAAATAGGAGATTCTCCTCACAATTTCTTTATCCCTTCCCTCTCCCCACCACGCAAAGCTGCAATCGGAGCTTACCTAGCTTTGAGGAGGTGGTGTGAGGGCTCTTGAGTCCTCCTGTTTCCTTCCCAAAGCTGGGCAAGCAGACCTCCATCTTGCAGGTGGGGGGCAGTTCCTGGATTTATGCATTTTTGTGTTTACAAGTGGACCCCCAGAACTGAACCCTCGTGTACCATGTTAGCTGTATGCTGGACCTGGGTCAACTAGCAAGTGTATCCTCAAGTCAACCTCACATCAACTGTGCAGGAGGACAGACACCAAATTCAGCTTCACTTTTTGTTAGCTTCTTGTGAAGCACTCCTTTTAAACCCCTTTCTTGTCAGTTTCCCCAAAGGGTACATTGGTAAGAATCTTTGAATGATAAGAACTCTCCAGAGTGCTGATTGCATTTAACAGTAAACAAATTTGAAGTTTTCTAGCGATATTTAGCTAGTCCTCTCCCAAACTTGTAAATGTGTGCGCGCCACACGCCTTGGTTGTACCCATTTTATAAATGCAATATATTGAGTTTTACCTTTCGGGACACTAAATTTATTGTCTTTCTTGTACCACAGACAGCCTTGTTTGGTATCCAATATTTTGTGTGGATATTCTGTTTTGTGCTCGGTTGATTTCTTCACAGTGAAATCTGTAGCTAGCATGGGAGATAAAATAACAGATTGCTAAATTTGAACACCATCCATCCATAACACTTGGATGTGGAGGTAGTTTCTTATGTTGCTGCTGCATATGTACTTGCTACATCTGCCTTTGAAGATGTTCAGAGACATAAAGCACTGATCCACACTTGTAACAATAAGTATCTGGCTTTTGTGCTTTTGTTCATGAGCATTGGAAGTTAAATAAAGACATGAGGGAGGCAGTGAGAACCACCGTGTCAGTTCCACCTTCTGTCACTGTTCTCATTATTCTCCAACCTGTGGAGGACAGTCTTCAAGCAGGGAGACTTCTGAATGACTCTGATGGAGCATCCTTGCATCGCCAACCTTACCACCATCCTGCAGCAATGCTGGAGGGCAGCTCTGCATCGCCACAACAACTGCTCCTACAAGCATGCACTCAATGACCCTTAGCCAAAGGTGTGAATTTGAAATGTATTGTGTTTGGACAGACCTTTGGTGATATGAGTTCTTTCAGCTGTGACTGATCCATGGAAGTCCATAGGTAAAGGTAAAGGGACCTCTGACCATTAGGTCCAGTCGTGACCGACTCTGGGGTTGTGGTGCTCATCTCGCTTTATTGGCCGAGGGAGCCGGCGTACAGCTTCCAGGTCATGTGGCCAGCATGGCTAAGCCACTTCTGGTGAACCAGAGCAGCTCACGGAAACACCATTTACCTTCCCGCCGGAGTGGTACCTATTTATCTACTTGCACTTTGACGTGCTTTCAAACTGCTAGGTTGGCAGGAGCAGGACAGAGCAATGGGAGCTCACCCTGTCGCAGGGATTTGAACTGCCAACCTTCTGATCGGCAAGTCCTAGGCTCTGCGGTTTAACCCACAGCGCCATCCATGTCCCTATGGAAGTCCATATAAGTCCATTATTGAGGCTACAACTAATGACTTGATGAACATGGCTGAAAACACAGGATTAGGTGACAGTGTACTGACACGTCAACCAAAATGTACTCAGGGTAAGGTCTGGAAAGAGTCCTCTGCGTACAACTGTATTCATGGAAAGCTTGTTCTCAACGCAGGCAATTGCAAGACTGTCTTCAGGCAGGATATGCAGTTGGAATGGGATCCTCGTCTTGTACTGCTTACCTATAAATTGATTTTCTTCCGGTAGGTGTAAATCTGGATGCAGCATGAAATCAGTGTCCCACAATGTGCTCCAGTATGCATCGATTTCTGTGGATATGACATAAAATGGAATTATTCTGCTATCACAAAATGTAAATCCAAGCCAAGCGTTAACCTGGTTCAACAGCCAGGACGCTGCACTGAATTCTAAATTCAGACTGGCATAATTCTGCATGCAGACACAAGCTTTAGGCACCTAAAAGAACATGAGAAGAAACCTACTGAATCAGATCAAAGGCTTGCCTTGTCCAACATTCTGTTGTTACAGTGGCCAACCAGATTATTATGGGAAGCTCACAAGCAGGACATGAGTGGAATAGTACTCATGACACCCCAGGAACTGGTATTCTGAGGCATCTGATCTCTGGTGCTGAAGGTAATAATAAAGGTAAAGGTAAGGGGACCCCTGACCATTAGGTCCAGTCGTGACCGACTCTGGGGTTGCGGCGCTCATCTCACTTTATTGGCCGAGGGAGCTTCTGAGTCCTGTGGTCAGCATGACTAAGCCGCTTCTGGCGAACCAGAGCAGCGCTACTATCTAATACAACTACTTATACTGAGTCAGAACATTGGTCATCTAGTTCAGTATTGTCCATGCTGACCAAAAGCTGCTCTTCAGGGTTTCAGACAGGAGATGTTCACTGTTCAACCTGGAACAGCAGGGAGTGAACCAGAAAGCTTCTGCATACAAAAAGCAGATGCTCTTCTGCTGAGCTACATCATGTTCTTGTTGTGAAAATCCTTAGCTGTCAACTTGCTTGAAAAGCTTCAGAGACATGTTTTAAATCGCAGAAACTTTACATTGTTTTACCTGTTGCGCTGTATTGTGTCCCAAACCATTTCTCCTTCAAGGGACATTTCCCCTCATGGTAAGGAGAAAAGAAAACGAAGTTTGCCTTTTGAGGGATGAGATGGTTAAGGGCATCAGCAATGACCTATAAACATAATAGAACGTATCAGTTTGTTTTCAACTAGTCATTCCTAACTTCTGGGCAGGGAAGTACGCAATTCAAATGTTTGATAACAAGTATTTCTCCGCTGGAAAAAGATTTGGAAATGTTCTAGTTACCAACACATTTTTTAACTCCTATGAGGGAATTTCAAAGTGACTTCTACATAACAGCTTTCCTCCTAAAGACAGATGGAGATTACTTACTTCAGCATTATATTCAATCAGTAGCTGGTCTCCTATCAGAAAGTCCTCCTTTTGAAATATGTGCATATATTCAGAAATATTTTCTACATATTCAAGTGGATCAACCTGGGGAATGAGCAAAATATGATTTGGAAATCATCACAATGTTAGGATTTCTCTTAGAGAGCAGTCCCTGAAACAGGAGAGGTTTGGGATGTGTGAACACCAGTATGCAAAACTAGTCACATATTGAAAATATCAGTATTAGTATAGATGCAAGAAAATACTGGAAAATTGAATAGATAATACCTGTTCCTGAAAGCAAAATTCATTGCCTTCAATCTTCTGAATGTCTTTCCATATTCTGTGAGGGAACAAGTTGAGTCCATATTAATCCTTAACTCTCAAGAAAATAATCAAACTGAATTTCTAAGTAAGATATCATGCAGAAGGTATTTATTCTGCATTAAGTATTTGTACTGTTGAAATGGGACTACCAGACCACATTGGTTAAGACCTGCTGCACATACGTGTTTGCAAAGATTGGATGCATATTGGGGAATAGAATTGTGTTCCCCCTGATCTATACATGTTCAAGTCTACTATCTGAACAGATTCTACATGCATGCAATTTCCGTACATACAAACGTTTAAGCTTTTTTCAGTTGTATATACAAAGGATCTATTCATACTGATTGTAGTGGCAGTGAAGCCCTGATAAAATCTGAGAAAAATTGCATTCACCTATATATTGGTCTAGGAGGTTATGCAAATATTTATTTTCAAATGTATAATATTATGCATATGAAGCAACAGGCCCAGAGTGGATTGACCCAGAGTGATTTTGTGTGGTTGTATTGTTATTAATAATGGTTTTCTGAGTTGTCTTCAGCATATTGGATAATAATTATTTGTTGATTCTCAGAAACAGAATAACCATTTTCCCTTTATTTCATAAGCCTAGTAAGTTTTGCTGATTAGTATAGTGCAGGGGTCAGCAATCTTTTTCAGCCGTGGGCCAGTCCACTGTCCCTCAGACCATGTGGGGGGCTAGACTATATTTTGATAAAAATATATGAATGAATTCCTATGCTCCACAAATAACCCAGAGGTGCATTTTAAATAAAAGCACACATTCTACCTATCTAAAACACCAGGCAGGCCCCACAAATAACCCAGAGATGCTTTTTAAAATAAAAGGACACATTCTACTCATGCAAAAACATGCTGATTCCTGGACCGTCCATGGGCCGGATTTAGAAGGCGGTTGGGCCGCATCCAGCCCCTGGACCTTAGGTTGCCTACCCCAGGTATAGTGTGTCTAGCTTTTTTTTGGTTCTAGCACTTCTTTTTTTTAAAAAATCACCTTTCTACAGGTCCATGTTTTCGCAACATCTTCAAGTACTGGAATATAATATGAATAACCTAAAGACAGAAAAAGAAAATGATTCATCTGGTTACCCTTACCTATAAGAAAATGTTTCACAGAATTTAGCAGAGGGTGCATGTTTTCTAGTACATTTAAATTTAAGGCAGCACTGTAATGAAAGAGCTAATCTATGATACTTTACTATCCTACTTTGGGCATTCCTTGCATGAAGGGGGCATCAAATGATGACTGAGCAGCAGGAATGTGCCCCTGGCCCTGTCTCTGAACATCAATGGCATAACAAGGTCATCTGCAGGGAAGAAGGGCTGGGCCACACTTCCGCATGTCTTGTGCCTAGAAAGCATGAGTCCAAGCAGTTTCCCACTTAAAGGTAAAGGTAAAGGGACCCCTGACCATTAGGCCCAGTCGTGACCGACTCTGGGGTTGCGGCGCTCATCTCGCTTTATTGGCCGAGGGAGCCGGCGTACAGCTTCCGGGTCATGTGGCCAGCATGACTAAGCCGCTTCTGGTGAACCAGAGCAGTGCACGGAAACACCGTTTACCTTCCCGCCGGAGTGCTACCTATTTATCTACTTGCACTTTGACGTGCTTTCGACCTGCTAGGTTGGCAGGAGCAGGGACCAAGCAACGGGAGCTCACCCCGTCGCGGGGATTTGAACCGCCAACCTTCTGATCAGCAAGTTCTAGGTTCTGTGGTTTAACCTATAGTGCCACCCACATCCCTAGTTTCCCACTTACCTCATGCTTTTTAGGCACAGGTCCAAGCGATTTTGTCTTTGCCTTGCTGCTTTCCCCAGGAAAACCTACTCTTTAGCGATAAATCAGAACAAACAGCAGCCTGCAGAAAAGCTGTTTGCTGTTTGCTCTGATTCAGTGGCGCTAAACAACATGTTTTCCTGGGAGAAAGCAGTGGGGCAAACGGTAGTGTGGATTAGCCTGGTGCAAACAGCTGTTCACATGAGAACATAGGAAGCAAACTTATATCAAGTCAGGCCATTGGCCTAATCCAACTCAGTATTGTCTACACTTTCCCGGGCAGCAGTGGCAGTGGCTCAAAATCTATTATATACTCAATATACATTTAATATCTACAAATTAACTTTTCATAATTATTGTTTTTACTATACTCTATAACCCACCCCCCCTTATAATCATATTCAAGTTAGTCATATTAACTTCGGTTCCATTCATTTCTATGGAACTACTCTGGGTAAAAGTTAGCTGGCTACAGCCCTCTGTCCTTTGTACTGATAGTTATGCCTGTCTGTTTCAGGGTTAGATCATGTTTTGTAAATAATAAAAGTGAATAAATAACAACAAGGGAAATTTACCTCATAAAAATGTTCAAAACCTTCATCAGTCAAAGTCACAGAGATGCTGAAGATGGAGTAAGTAGAGTTTTGTTCAAATCCTGTCTCACCATTTCCTCCAAATAATGCAAGAGCCCAAAATCTATTGCAAAATTAAGACCATGATTATGCAGATGAACCACATTGCATCTTTTAAAGCATCTTACCTTTGAGTGTATTACTGTCACAATGAACTGTGAAGAGAGGTGGAATTAAGGATGCTTTGCTTTTAGAAATGTGTGCCACTTCAAAAATAACATAAAAGGGTAAGTGATCTTCCATGACCTTGAATATCCTCAAAAAGGTACTTATAGGTGCAAAATGCAAATTTATTTGCAATTCTCTCTCTCTCTCTCTCTCTCTCTCTCTCTCTCTCACACACACACACACACACACACACAGCAACCCATCCTACTAGAAAACTTTGTCATTTGATAAACATGATTTGCAGTGCATTGATCTGGAATGACTTTCTGGTTTTTAACAAAGACATAATCATTTGTAGAATCAGGAAATCAACCCAAGCAGTAAGGTGGGTAACTTGAGATGATTACTATTTTATTTAAAAGCATTTCTAAACTGTTTGATAAGTAAAAAAACAACAACCCCTAAGCTATGTACATTATTGTTGGTAATCACATTCTACCTATCTCAAGGTGGTGTACAATAAAAAATAGCAACAGCAAAAACAAAAACAAACAGGCAAAAGCACAAAAAGCATTTATGTTTTAAAAAGCAACAGCAAAATAAATAGACATCCATGGCAGAGATTCATTAATCAACCAAGAGAGGCTTGTCGGAACCAAACTATCTTCAGTTGCTTCCGGAAAATGCAGAAAGTCTGTGCCTGTGGTATCTTGACATGAATGCTATTCCAGAGAAGAGGGGCAGCTACATTGCAAGCCATGGGGCAACCACACTGAAATCTCTGCCTTGTTCAGCAGAAGCTCTCTTGCAGACTGCAGTGACCTACTAGGTATATAAGGGCTAAAACAGTGTCTCAAGTAACCTGGTTCTGGGCCTTATATGTTAGTACCAAAACCTCGAACTTGGCCCTGCAGCAGACTGGCAGCCAGTCAAATCCCACAAGCAGGATATCATAGAATTGTAGAGTTGGAAGGGACCCGAGGTCCATACAGTCCAACCCCCCTGCAATGCAGGAAATATATGCTGGCGGTAGTTTGCCCCCACAAGCAACCTAGTAATTGTGTTCTGTACCAGCTTCAGACTCCAGATCTACCTCAAGGGTAGCCCCACTCAGAGAACATTGCAATACTCCAACCATGAGATTATCAAATCCTTGGACAACTGTGGTCAAGCTACCCTGATCAAGGAACAGCTGTAGCTGTCTTGCTGACCAAAGCTGGAAAAAAGACCCTCTTTGTCATCAAACTGAGCTGTGGTTTCAGTGACAGAGCTGGATGCAACATCCATTATGACTCCAATATAAAAACCAATATCTATTCAAATTCAATACCCGTTAAAACAAAAATGCAACCAAAAAACAGATGAAAGTTTACAAGCAAATAAAGCAGAGAAGAGGTGATTTATGCATACTCAAAACAGCTCAAAGTGTCTCAGAACCTGTAAGTCATCTTACTGCCTCTCAATATTCAAAAGGGATAATTTGACATGTTTAGCTGTTTCATCACGCAACATAAGATAAACTTGACAAAGCAAAATCTTCAAGACATACTTTTTCCTCAGAAGCGAGAGCACACTGCCATTGCCTTCATGTCCCACCAGCCAGGAGAGGTAATGAAGAGGCTTAGTCCTACAAAGATTGGGGGAAACATTAAATAAGTTAAATAAGTTTGACATTTGCCCCTAAACTCCTAACTCCAACACTTGTCTCCTTTTCTTTAATCATCTGTCTTTAACTTAACCAATCCATTCTTCAACTTTTCATAATGTTGTACTGAACCTCGGTGTTGCACTGCGACACTATTACCCAAGAGTTATTTGATCCTTTCCCCTTTTTCTTTTGCACAGCAGATCATGGAACTAGGGACTTGGTGGGTTTGAACTCCATGGTTTTGCCAAAATGGACTTGTCAGCTATGCACTGAGGAACACTTTGGGCAATTCTGGCAAACTGGATTGCATGGTTATATGCTGAATAGCTTCATAGACAATAAAGGGAAGGACCATAGCTCAATGGTAGAGCATCTGCTTTGCATGCAGAAAGTCTTAGGTTCAATCCTTGGCATCTCCAGTTAGGGTGGGGAGAGATTCCTGTCTGAAATCCTGAAGAGCTACTGCCTGCCAGTGAGATGATACAGAACCAGGTGGCCCGGTGGAGTACAGGGACAGGTTTAAGGTGCTGGTTTTGACCTTTAAAGCTCTATGTGGCCTAGGACCAACGTACCTATGGGACTGCCTCTCCTGGTATGCCCCGCGGAGGACCTTAAGGTCCACAAATGACAACATTTTGGAGGTCCCAAGTCACAAGGTGGTTAGGTTAGTCTCAACCAGGGCCAGGGTCTTTTCAGTACTGGCCCCGACTTGGTGGAATGCTCTGTCACAAGAGACTGGGCCCTGCGGGACTTGACATCTTTCTGCAGGGCCTGCAAGACAGAGCTGTTCCGCCTGGCCTTTGGTTTGGACTCAGTCTGACTACTGCGTTGTATAAATGGAAGTAGGTTTAAAATGATCTCTTACCGATAATTCTTTTCTTGTGGGGGAAGACTCCAAGAGATGCTCAGAGAATGTATTTCTTTCACTGGAACAACTGAGGCAGGAGAAATGAGTCAATTTCAAACATTCACATGGGTGGTTATTCTTGCAGCAGACTTTGAGAAAACGGGCAAGGGAAACGAAAGAGGTGGTGAGAGGAATAAACATGCACACATATTGCTTCCAAAGGTTATAAGGCCATGTAAAAAAACACCCAAAGTTGGCATCCGTTTGTCTCAGGAGGCAATGGAAGAGTGCACCTTCAGGGGCATAGTCAAACAACTGGAGAAGAAGAAGAAGAGTTTGGATTTGATATCCCACTTTATCACTACCCGAAGGAGTCTCAAAGCGGCTCACATTCTCCTTTCCCTTCTTCCCCCACAACAAACACTCTCTGAGGTGAGTGAGGCTGAGAGACTTAAAAGAAGTGTGACTAGCCCAAGGTCACCCAGCAGCTGCATGTGAAGGAGCAGGGAATCGAACCCGGTTCACCAGATTACGAGTCTATCGCTCTTAACCACTACACCACACTGGCACTGGAGAGTTACAGAGCCTGCTGTGGCTGAAGAAACCAAAACAGGAGAGACATATTAGAGACAGCTGAAGCTAAGATAGTAGCTTGCCTTAAGGTCACACTGTGACCTTGTGGCTGAGGTGGACTTTGAGTGGAGAACTTCTTCTTCCAATATGTCTTGTCAGTAGAGATATTTACCCCACATTGCATCTATATTTGAACTATTTAAAACCATGTAAAACAATGTAATTGTTTTAAATATTTTTATTGGTTTTTTTTTAAAAAATATAGAGACCTGTTTTAAATTATATTTACACTTTTCTTGTTTTTTTAGCTGTAGTTGTAACCCATCCTGGGACAGTAAAGGTTTTTTTTAAAAAAAGCAATGTAGCTCTGATGCAATTTTCCATTGACAATGGATTGCTGCTCTACATCGCCTTCTGGTGTCACATTTTTACAACACATTTTTAATGTTTTAACGGAACAGTGTACATGGGTCCTCAGTTTGGTAAGTGATATCCCTTCAGATTTCCCAACGATAAAATTTTTTGGGTTGAGACTAATTACCTTTGTAAAGCTTGTGAAATGCAGGTGTGTCAAACGGCTGTGGCAGATGACCAAAAGTTGGTTTGGGTAATCCACTTAAAAACAATAAAGAAACAATAAATAAATAAATTGCAATTCCCACTGATTCCTGCTCTCCTCCAAATATTTATATATTTAGGTGGCAACCCAATGGACACTTACAAGGGACTAAATCCTATTGAATTCAATGTTATTTGCTTCTGAGTAGATATGCACAGGTTTGCATTGAACTAAGACTGCATAGTTAATTACACATTATTTTCATGGGATGCTATGGCTACATCTGAGCCTTTGCTTTAGTGGGTTCTCAGAACGGAATTTATTTCCTTGACACTGATTACAAGTTTGGTGGAAGACCCAGCATTTCCAATCTAATGTTTGTCCTTGCCCTATTGTATTTCTAATTAAAAGGAAGTCAAGGGTCAGTACCTTTTACTAGTACTTCCATCTATTTCTCAAATATCTAGTTCTCTTGCCCTTAATATAATTCTTTGATTCTCTTCCCTGGCTTGGCAGAATTCAACAAAAATAGATCTGGTAAAGTAAAGGTCTATGATAAAGAGGATAAAACTGGTAAAAAAAACCAACGCTACACATAAACTCCACCTTACAATTATATCTTAGGAATGCATAGTAATATTTGACCGTATTCTTTCTCTTTTATATTTCTAATTGATATGTCATTGATATGTCACAAAGTATCAGATTTTGCAAGCCATCAACAGTTTTAGGATAAAGAACAACAACAAAATTTCTTACTTATTTGGGATCTGTGAGAAAATTTCCGTCACCCATTTCTCCAAAGTGTCCAGAGTTTCTAATAAAGAAATATTGAAATATTGAGATAGAGAGAGAGAGAGAAGAAGAAGAAGAAGAAGAAGAAGAAGAAGAAGAAGGGGGAGGAGAAAGAAAGCAATATGTTCTCACAAGGACAAAGTTAAGGTGATAACATTGAAGCAGCATTCTTAAATATTATGAACACATGGGGCTGTAGAAAGAAGTCATTGCACTGATGGAACAAATTCCACTCATCAATGGTACTTCTCATTCCTCTTCCTCCTATGCGTCACCCACACCATCTCAAATCTGCTATGGGGTTTTCCCCAAGCCTAAAGAGCACATTTCAGGTGAGGGGTGATAGGGAAGGCAAGGCATGGGGATTTCCATTGTACAAATGGAAGTCCTTCCACATGTGCAATTAATTTGTTTGCTACAACCCACAATGCATAGATGTTTGCATCAACTAAATGGCAAAGTTGCAGGAGCTCCCAACTTTTTCCACACTTCGTTTTGATGTTCATCCTCAATGAACTACCTAGTCACATTATACCTAATAAACCTTCACCCTATGATTTGCCTTTTGTATCAGACCAGCAACCTTCTCAGTTACTCTTATTCAGGCATTACTCACCAAACGAAAAACATTGATATAGTAGGGAACCCTTTCTGTGCGTGGAATCTCCCTGTGTGATTAAGAACCCTGAAAGATACCCAGTGAAAACATCCACACTAAACTTGCAGTTCAGGAGACACTAAACACGAGAACACTTCAAGCAATTGAAGATTTGTCTGTTCCAGCAGACTTTCCCTGACCCTTACAATATTTTGAAAGTGTGATGCTATGCTTTTTACCTTTCTAGAACTTTATTGCATTACATAGTACTGTTGCGTTTTAGTTTTATTGTTTTATTTTGTGCAAATGCTTATAAAATGAAATACAGTGGTACATCGGGTTACAGACACTTCAGGTTACAGACTCCGCTAACCCAGAAGTAGTACCTCGGATTAAGAACTTTGCTTCAGGATGAGAACAGAAATTGCGCAGTGGCAAGGGGAGGCCCCATTAGCTAAAGTGGTACCTCAGGTTAAGAACAGTTTCAGGTTAAGAACGGACCTCAAGAACGAATTAAATTCTTAACCCGAGGTACCACTGTATGTACATTCTATATGCATATCTATCTATGTACCATATCTATAAGTCTTTGTAAGCTGCTTAAATATCGTTTTGGTGTTAAGTGAATTACATCATAAACGCAGGAAGGCCTGGGGTGAACTATGTCTCAATCATATAAAATGGCTGCCACACTGAAAGAAGTAGAAAAATAGACTGGACAACAAAATAGTGTCGATGGGCGCCCCTCCATCAATGGGGAAAAGTACATATTTCACCCACTGCCATGTTCATACACAGAGAAAAGCTCTTTGCATCTCTATCTTCCCTTTCAGAACAGAAGAGAGGGTAAGTTTCCAATCCAGGCATCTCAAGAAATGTGGGCTTATTTAAGAGCAAGTATTTGTTGTAGTAGAAGCTGAGTCAGTCTGAATATGAACTGAGCAGGAAGAGCAAACAGTCTCCCATTCACTGAGATATTTTTTGTGGGTGCCAAAGGAGGTACAGTGGTAAAGGTAAAGGTACCCCTGACCAACAGGTCCAGTCGTGACCGACTCTGGGGTTGCGCGCTCATCTCGCTCAAGATGCCGGGAGCCGGCGCTTGTCTGAAGACAGCTTCCGGGTCATGTGGCCAGTGTGACTAAGCCGCAGCTGGCGAGCCAGCACCAGCGCAGCACAAGGAAACGCTGTTTACCTTCCAGCTGGAGTGCGGTCCCTATTTATCTACTTGCACTTTGGGGTGCTTTTGAACTGCTAGGTGGGCAGGAGCTGGGACTGAACGACGGGAACTCACCCCGTCGCGCGGGGATTCGAACCACCGACCTTTCGATCAGCAAGTCCTAGGCACTGTGGTTTAACCCGCGGTACTTCAGGTTAAGAATTTAATTCGTTCTGGAGGTCCGTCCTTAACCTGAAACTGTTCTTAACCTGAGGTACCACTTTAGCTAATGGGGCCTCCCACTGCCACTGCGCCACTGCCACGCAATTTCTGTTCTCATCTTGAACCAAAGTTCTTAACCCGAGGTACTATTTCTGGGTTAGTGGAGTCTGTAACCTGAAGCGTCTGTAACCTGAAGCGTCTGTAACCCAAGGTACCACTGTACTGGCATAGGTGACCCCTGTAGTCATAAAGTTACTTATCTTGGGCGCTGCATTGTCAGCAAAACAGTTCATGGTATGCGATCTCATACGAACCATGACAAAATTCTTCCAAACATACGTGCACCCCCCAACCAACAACTTAACATAGCATTGTATAACACACATGCATACTCACATATATATAACTTATAGTTCAGCACAGGGAGATTTTTATACCTCTAGATTGGACAACTAGATTCATATAGTGGGCTGAGTAGTGACGCGTCCTGAAATCCCTAAGCCTCTGATAGGTGTTAATTCTGTTCCTTTTCGGCGAATGTTTAAGTGTCTCCGCATTACCTGCAAATTTTTAACGGGAAGAGATTTGCTTTCTGACTTTGAAATCAGCGGGGGTTTTAAGTTTGCATGTTCGTGAATCAGATATCCTAGTCCTAAAAAGCTTCTCCAGGACCAATCATGCATCTATTTTTTATTTTTTATTTTAGCATGATTAGCCCAAGTCATGAATATCAATCTTGACAGTTACACTGCATTCAGTTAGAAGTTCCACCTAATAAACAAGTCTCACCCAAATAATGGGAAATTATGGATATTTCCAGATGTCTCAGGAACCTAAGCAGCTCTCTTATAATACCATATTCACTCGAATTTAATGCTCACTTTTTTGGGCCAAATTACGTTGCCAAAATTAAGGTGTGCATTAGATTCGATGGCACATTTACATTTGCCAGCAAATACCTTTTTTGGTTTCAAGGTTCTGAAAATTGAGGTGCGCATTAGATTCGATGGCACATTGGACTCGAGTAAATACAGTAAGTCAGATTATCAGTCCTTTTAGCAATCCAAGGGCAGAAACTCTCAAGGATTTCAGATAGGAGTCCTTTACAACCTTCTCGAGGAGACACCAATGATTGAACCTGAGACCATTTTCAGGCGGAGCATCTGTTCCAACTATGGCTCTTCCCCTATTTCAGGGGTTGGGAACCTCTGGCCCAAAAGCCTAATTAGGCTCACCAGGCCTCCCCATTTAGCCCACCTGGTCATTTGGCCAAGTCTTGTCTGCCTGTTCAACACCTGATTCTAGATATAACTGGACCAAATGGGGTTTGTAAAGGTAGGACATCAGCTGATCATCTACATGGGCAAAAACGGGACACCTCATGTCATTGGCCCATGGGTGATAGGGGAGAGAAGGATTTAGTCTGTCATCCAGGTCCAGTGTTGGCATGATGGGAACAGTATTTTTGTTCTTCAATGCCGGGTTGTTGTTATAGACCGTAACAATGTGCCCCCACTACTCAATCACTCTGTTGTCTTATGTCTACTGAGTTAATATGCACTATGAAGTCAGGGCTGGGAGTAATGGCTGCCTGACCTGCTATTCTGCAGGGTTGACAGGCCAACTTCATGTAATCAGCTGGTCAAAAATAATCTGCTAAATTTGTTTGCCAGGGCTTGCGTTTCAGGGCTATGCTGGGTTAAATCCCAAACTAAGCAGAAATGAAGCAATTCAGAAAAAAAACAACAACCAACCACCAGCCAAAGATCTTTGGAAGGAACCAGAATTAAGGGCTTTTGTTCAAGTACAACAGCTCAAGAATTCCCTAATGCTTTTAAACTAAAACCCCACACTTTAAACTGAACCTCGCAACATTATACTTACCCCAAAAGAATTTTCTCATAGGATGTCCTTGTTTTGCAAGGCTTCCAAGGAGCAATTCTCTTCTGTTAGCATCAGAGGGCCTGGCTATTTGATATTCTGTTTGTTTTGAAGAACACATTAAGCAGCAGAAGGGAGAGTACCTTTTTCAGTGATAAGATCATTTAGACAAGGAGACAGCCTAATAACACACATACACGAAGCAGCAGCGGATGAACTGACCTACCTACCTCATCTACAATGAGAGGGATGGAAAGAGACAAACCATTCTGCTGCATACATCTGATGGGCTGAATCATGGAGTTCCCAGGGCACCAGGGAAGGGAGGCACTGCCCATTAAATGAACAGAAATAGCCAGCATCACAAGGAAAATGGAAGCTGTGGGAGCTGCGGTAATTGCCTTCTCTTCCTTTAGGTCCATGTCAACATGGTGCCATGGGATGAGCAGGGTGGCAAGGAAAGGAAGAGATCACAGTGGCCCTTTAATTCATAAGAAGAGCTTTGCTGGATCAGACCAAAGGCCCACCTAGTTCACCATTCTGTTCCCACAGTGGCAAACCAAATGCCCAAACAGGATGCGAGCACAACAGTGTTTTCCTACTCATGTTCCCTAGCGACTGGTATGCAGTTACCTTTGATACTGGAGGCAAGATACAGCCATCTCTGATAGTGGAGGTAATATATTGACCAGCAGCTATTGGTCACCATATTCTCCATACATTTGTCGAGTCCCCTTTTAAAGCTGTCTACCAGCGATGTAGCGTTGGTTGTTGGCGCCTAGCCAGTGTGTGCACTGAGCAGCGGAAAGGGGTGCTAGCCCAGCCCTCACCACTGACGCTGCCAGAGTGACCGCAATGGAGCAAAGTGGGGCCGACCTCAGCCGTGTGGAGAGGAGCAATAGGCTGGGCTGGGCTTGCCTGCATGGGGTGGCCTGGTCTGTGCCCCCACAAGAATTGTGCACTCGCGGCCACCCTCCCCCTGGCAGCCCCATGCTACGCCCCTGCTGTCCACACTGGTATCTTGTCTATGGTGCACTCCCTAATGGTAAGAATGGTACAGAAAACTAACTTTTGTGTATCTGATAACCAGCATCTGTATAGCACTGCTTTGACTCAGACCTATCCTCCAGTTTGCCTTTTTTGCATAATAATAATAATAATAATAATAATAATAATAATAATTTATACCCCACCCATCTGGCTGAGTTTCCCCAGGCACTCTGGGCGGCTCCCAATCGAGTGTTAAAAACAATACAGCTTTAAATATTAAAAACTTCCCTAAACAGGGCTGCCTTCAGACATCTTTTAAAAGTGGGATAGCTGCTTATTTCCTTGATGGGAGGGCGTTCCACAGGGCGGGCGCCACTACTGAGAAGGGCCTCTGTCTGGTTCCCTGTAACTTCACTTCTCGCAATGAGGGAACCACCAGAAGGCCCTCGGCACCCGATCTCAGTGTCCAGGCTGAATGATTGGAGTGGAGATGCTCCTTCAGGTATACAGGACCAAGACTTTAAAGGTCAGCACCAACACTTTGAATTGTGCTCGGAAATGTACTGGATTGCTAAACGTGGATTGCTGAACTGCAGCTATATCCTAAGCAGGAAAGTGTGGTCCATCCAGCCATTCATCAAACACCATCCTTTGAGCATTCTGTACACATTTGCTGGCATACAATGTTTTGTATGCAGGAAAAGGCTGTCCCCAAGGTGGTTGTGAGCAGCTTCCTCCTTTCTACCCTCTCCCTGTCCAAAGGTTCCATTTCTTGACATACCAGGGCCTTTTTTCCATATGTAATGGCTATTCTTGTCACCTGCCATGCTTTTAACTGCCTAACTCTAGAGCCTGCAGTATGACCATTTCTCTGCGTCTCCTAATAAAAACATTTTTGTATGCAGTTTAGAATAAGATGCACATTTTTTAAAGTGATTTCCCCTAATGCAATGTGCTTTTGTATTTCACTAATGTATTCATTTTTAGGCACACTCTCCTCAGTATATGTGTTCTTGTAAACATTGATTGGTTGGGAGAACCACATCACAAAATTGGGAGAAGGGCAAATTTCAAAGGATGGCTGTGTTTCAATTCTCATATTGTTTCAGAAAATTGCAAATTGGATAGATTCACCTTTAAATGCAAACAGGATCTAATTTCTCCTCTATCCCTACAAGAAGGCAGGCATAGATGTGCAGTGTAAAATAGTTTGCAAAAAAAGGGAGCCAGATTCAATGCTCTGCAGTATGATATGAATGCAGGACAAAATCTGGGGTCTGGAACTGAGCCTGGCACAGCAATATCTAGCACCAGATCCTGTCCTACGCTCTGATTGTACTGCAGCCTGTTGAATATTTCACAAAGTGTGCAAGGCCAATTTTAAATGGGATTACAGCTCTAAAATCCTATCAGACTAAAGAGGTAGGCCATTAATAGTCCTGCTTTACAAATGAGGACTCGGAAATTAAAGAGAATATATCCACAAAATCAGACAGCTGAAGATTAGATCTAAAGTTTGGAAGCACAGTTGAAAAATCCAGGATGCATGGGTTGGAGGGGAAATAATTTTTCCTACAGTGAGAAACCCACGTTGTCTGCTGTGCTTTGTGAAGCTTTGTATTTAACCTCAGACATAAAAGACTAGAGTTAGACAAAGGTAGTCACTCTTTTCCTCTTAGCCCGTCACCCATGTCATCCTCACAATTAACACACATTGTGAACTCACACCAGAAAGTGACATATCTCCACATTTTATAACAACTTATAGCCTGAATGCATTTAAAGTCCTACTGAATTCAATGGGATTTATTTCCTGAAGATATGCTTAGAACTGCAGCCTTACAGTTAATTACCTAGTTCGGTATGCTCTGGGAACTGATAAAATTACACTCTCAAAATTTATTGACCACAATCCAACATAAAGTTAAACAGTCTTAAGACCATTATTTCAAAGGGCTTAAGGAGGCTTAAATATTTGGATTGTGGCCATTGTATCTAAATATTACTTTTATAAAGTGGTTACATAAAACATGGGTCATCCAGATTTCATGATGGGAATGCTACTTAAACCTGATGAGATCGTTTCTCTTAAGAATTGCAAGAATATCAACAATAAAAAATTAGATCAAACCCATTTGTTTTACCACTATCTACAGCTTCAACTTCTCGGTCAATTGCATCCTTAATCATCAGTGGCTGGATGAAAAATTGTGCCCATCTACAAGAGAAATTGAAAATCGGGTTTCTGCTGTGCTGAAAAGCAGAACTATAATATTCTGTTTTCAAAAGTGCATATACAGTCCCTTGGGATATACAGTTCAAGTAACTTACTCAGAGTAGACCATTTAAAATTACCAGTACACACTGGTCCTGCTATCCAAACACTTGTTTTACAAAATTTCACTTATCCAAACATGAGGAATTAGTACCCAAACCTTGCTATACGTCCCCCACAGATTCAGATATCCAAACAGCCAGACCTGAGTTTAGTACTCTAAATAAACAGCCTCAAAAAAGTCTTATTTCTTGTGTTCTGCTCATATGTGGCAGTCGTTTTGCCAAAAATCATGGTGGGTGGGGGGGAAGGAAAGAGAAGAGATAGGACAAATAAGAGCATTTTTTTTTCTTCCATGGTTGCCTTTTGCAAGGTTTCATAGGGTTTCCTGGAGTTTCCCTGCTCTCCCCCATCATTTGGGGGTCAAAATTCCCCATAAGAATCAGTGGAAATTGTTACTTGTTATAAGAATGCTCACCTCGCAAACTGTTTCCTGAGAATGCATTGTGTTCAGATAGTGGGAACTGCATATCATGACCATTAATAACTTTGCACATTGCTTCTCACTCCCACTCCTCTAGCGTACATCTTCCTGGTTGTTATTTGGTTTTGTGTTGCAAAGTTACCTGTCGAGGGCTTCCCTAAAATATTTTTTCTGGATATCAAAATGGAAGACTGTTCGCTCTGTGTCTGTCGAAGCATTGTCTGAGCCTCCGTGCTTCTTTAAGAATGTATCGAACCCATTCTCATCTGGGTATTTCTGGCTACCCATAAACACCACTGAAAGAAAACATTGAAAAAATTGGGTGCATGCCTTCCAATCCTGGGATATGCTCAGAGCATGTACTGCTGCTGATCATTTCAATGAACCCCATGCATATCTCTTGCTGAATCTTTTTGCTTTAAGCCAAACAGCTTTCGCGATACATTGGAAGGAGTGCAAGACTTGATTGTGGCAAACCTCAAAGGCTGGGGGGATGGTTTTATAACACTGGGGTCATTACACTACTGTCACACACTGGCTGGACACAGAAGAATGGTGGGAGGAACCAGCTGGGAACCCCCAAGGCAAGAAATTTCAGAGCCCTGGGAGGAAGTGTCTGAAGCTGAAGAGGTCACAGGGCTTAGTGAGCAGGGAGAGTCTGTGGCAGAGAGATGTGCAGAGTCAGAGTCAGAAGTTGAAGCAGGGGAGGAGGGAGGCCAAGAGGCAGAAGTGAATCAATCTGGTGAAGAAGTTAGGGTGTCTTCCCCTCCTGCTGTGACAAGCTCCCCTTCCTCCACATCTCCCAGAACCAGGAGAGGCATGAAGAGGGTGGAGGAGGGAGAAGTCAGTTTCATGCTGCCGTAGTCTCCAGTTTCTTGGGAAAACTCTGGAGAGAAGGGGACTTAGGCAGCTGGTGAGGGGCATGGAGCTTCCATCTCAGCAATTGCTTCACGGGGCAAGACCTGCCGGAGATGAGTTGCTGTGCTCATTAGGCCTGTGTGACCCATACAGCACATAGGCAGCAATTATTCACACAATTAATATTCTTGTTCAAAAACAATTTTTCACCATTTATCAAATTTGTGAGAATAAGACAACTACTTACAAAGTGCCATGAAAACTTATAAGCTATCTAAAATAAAGTGAACTTGCAGCGTCAGATATTTATTATTTTTATTTTATTTATTAATTGTGTGAATAATTGCCGCCTATGTGTTGTACGGGTTGCACAATCATTATTAACAGCACAGGTTATTTTTATTTTATTTATTAATTGTGTGAATAATTGCCGCCTATGTGCGGTATGGGTTGCACAATCATTATTAACAGCACAGGTTATTTTTATTTTATTTATTAATTGTGTGAATAATTGCCGCCTATGTGCTGTATGGGGTTGCACAATTGTTATTAACGGCACAGGTTGCATTTCTTCAGCAGTGCTCATTAGTGCAGATCCTGTTTTTGCTAATAGTCATCTCCAACTTGCTCGGTGTAATTTACTGTTGGCTTGATGCTGTCACTGCAGAGCAGACTCTGCTCTGAATCCAAGGCCAATCTCAGCACTTGGAACCTTGGGCAGCTCCTAAGATCCAGGTGCTGTAGCAGAACCCACAAGCATTGTTTGGGCCCTCCAGACTGCCTTTTCCCTCAGCCATGAGTTTATCTGGTGGCAGCAACAGAATCTGGGAAAGTGCCTGCTGTTTTAACCTCCCCCTGCAGTGCCACAGAGTACACACAGAAGTCTTCTCCCCTCCTAGACCTCTGAAATGAGGCTCAGAAGAAGCTTTGTACTTCAGGATAGTTTGCTGGTGTGTCCTTGGTTATGAACTGTGTGTGGGTTTGCAAATGTGCCCATGGGCCAAGAAAGGTTGGTGACCCCTGATCTAATGTGGTGTTGCTCTGAGGCATTATGGGAAACTTAAAAGGTGGGTGGCTTCCCAGACTCAGTTGTTACTGCTAGGCAACCACTAGAATGGTCCACTAGGAAGGATTTTGGAAGGTCCCCCTCAAATGTGGTACTGCATATCGCATGGTATCACAGAGCAGGCAAATAAAGCAGGGTTCCCCAACCACCCCAATGATTTCAATATGCAGATATGTTCACAAAACCTTCCTCAAGTCTGATGTTTTGGAATACATCCCACCATCCCTGACCATTGGGCATACTGGCTGGAGCTAGTGGGCTCTGGAGTCCAAAATATCTGGAGACACCAAGCTGAGGAGGGTATGAGATTATGGGAAGACATTGCTTTCTTCGGGCCATTAACTGCTAAGTTTATTTATTATTAATCTATTAATTCTTTTCAACCATGATTTCATCAACTTTTAAAATAAAACTATAAATCAGTTTCAAGCTGTGAGTAAAAGAAAATATTGATAATTGTGTTTTGATTCCAGAAAACTGCCTCCCAGGCCAATAAATTATAGACTATCTTTTCCGTGGCTTTCTTTTTTGGTAGAAAGACATATAGAAGTAGCTACGTACTGTGCTCCAAAAAATGAGCTAGTCCAGGTAAATCATCAGGGTCACAGAAACTGCCAACACCAACAGCAAGGGCAGCTGCAGACTGTAATATATATATATAGAGAGAGAGAGAGAGAGAGAGAGAGGGAGGGAGGATAGACATTATATCACAAAGAAAGCAGCATGTTTCCCCAATATAAAAGAATTCCAGTTCCATCACAATGCTTCCCCATCTTAAAGAAAACAGATCAAGACTTAGGCTTCATTCACACCATAAATTTAAAGCACATTGAATGCAAATTATTTCCCCCAAAGAATACTGGGAGCTGTAGCTTAGCCTAGAACTACAGTTCCCAGGATTTGTTGGAGGGGCAATAATGTGCTTTCAGTGTATGGTGAGGTGTGTCTCCAGCTCCAAGGGCCTTCTGGTGGTTCCTTCTCTGCAAAAAGAGAAGTTACAGGGAACCAGGCAGAAGGCCTTCTCAGTAGTGGTGCCTGCCCCGTGGAATGCCCTCCCTTCAGATGTCAAGGAGATAAAAGAACTACACAACTTTCTGAAGACTTCTGAAGCCAGCCCTGTATTGGGATAATGCTTGATATTTTGCTGTGTTTTTATTATGTTAGAAGCCGCTCAGAGTGGCTGGGGCAACCCAGTCAGATGGGTGGTGTATAAGTAATATAATATGTTGTTGTTGACACCAAAATTCTCTTTGTTGTTACCTGTATTTTCCATATTGTGTAAGTAAGTATTAGTTCTATGAAAAATTTTCTGTGCACTGCCCCTCCATCCAATCCAGTCAGAAGTATAGCTCATTCTCCCCCTTTCATAGAGGACTCAAAACCTTATTCCTCCTGTGGTTTCCAGAAACTGGTATTCAGAATCATTACTGCATCTGACCATGAAGGTGGAGCATAGCCATGACTTTGATAGCGCTTTCCTCCATGAAACATGCTGTGATATTCCATTTCCTTGTTCATCACTATTGCTTTTATCCATTTTGTAAACCGCCTTTGGAAAGATTTCATTTTGAAGGGCAGGTTAAAAATGGAAAATATATATTAATAAAGGTTAAAAACCACTGTCGTATGAGCCAACTCAAATAATATATAGGTATACACCTACAAAAATTAAAAATGTGGCTAAAAGAGGCTTGCATAGAGAGGTGTATTGTAAAGGTATACTCACTGATTTGTTGCTCCTCCCTGTTGAACATACCTTACAGGTTTCCCTTTTTGTTGTGTGTCAAATATTTAGCTTAGGGAAAAGGTTGCCTGGTCAACATGCAGTTGTGCTGCTTGCTAACGTACCTGCTTTTCTGTGCTGTCCATCTTATTTTCCTCTTCTTTCTTGACTAGCTGTTCATAAATTTCATAGTCATCGTTCTCGTCTTTGATTCTGCTTTCACGACGCTCTTTTTGTTTACCTTTTTTACCAAGACCACTTAGAACTCCACCATAACCTTCAATAGTGGCCTCTCTTCCTCCAAGTACTTCTCCAAATTCTTCCACATTCCCATACTTCTCGTCCTCAAAGCTGCTGTCTTTCCCATCGTCTGTATCAGAGGACATGTCTTCCTCTTCTGACGCCTCAGAAGAATTGCAGTCATCCATATATAAGTCAGAAATCAGCAGAGCGTTCAGGCCATTGCTTAATTTTATGTACCTGCAAAAGTAATTCCATGAGCATTTTTATCGTTTCTATTTCTCTTTTTGCCCAATGTGGGCGTGCATTTACCAAGATGGCAGTCACCGCTCCCTTCTCTATTAACCTGGGGATGTGCAGGGAGAAAAATGCAAGGATAATCCGGTCAAGGAGAGGGTTTTCAAATGCCTATCCAGTAGCTAAAACCACCCTTTGTGGAAAGCAGCTTGTTGAGGATGAGTATGAACGATTCTGGATTGAGAAAAACTACAATTTTTTTTGCACTATGGATGGGTCGGTGTGAGCACAGCCCAAGTGTCCAACCAGCACCATGTCCTGCTTGCAACAGAAGTCAACAGACAATCACAGGAAGTCCCCAGCAGAGCATGAGAACAACAGTCACTCCCCTCTCAATTGTTGCCCCACCCCATCAACTGGTATTAGTTGCTTGCCTATCTCTGAACCTTGATGTTCCGGTTACCCAATATCCTAAGTAAAACTGATCTGTCCTCCATAAATTTATCTACCCTCCTTTTAAATACTATATCTAATCCAGAGTCCATAATCAGATCTTGCGGCAACAAATTGCACTAGGTGATTAAATGTCATTCAAATGTCTTCCTTTTTTTGTCTGTTTTGCATCTATTTACCCTGAATTCTAGTGCCGTGAAAGAGACGGAAAATATTCCCTTTGCATTATCTATAATTGTATAAATCTCTATTATGTCCTCCAGTTTGTCAACATCTCCTTACAAGCTCCAAGCAGTGAAGCATCTCAAAAAGAACATGGGAAACAATTCTCCACAAGATTGCAGCAGGCAACCTTCGCCTATTGTCACTGAGTTAAGCACAGCCTACCCACTTCCCAATAATAGGAATTCATGCAGATTTCCTGGGAGTCAAGTTCCCACCATTGCATTAAAAAAATAAATTGCCACTACTAGCCAGGTATGCTGGTGGGAATGCCTTGATATTGCTTAATTGCTTCTTAATTTTTAAACTTACTATGTGACCGAGTCTGTACTATTAGGTTATTTACGTACTTGGGACACACTGGGACATTTACAGTGCTGTTGGCCTCTTGAGGGGGGTTGCTCTTTTCTCCAGACCCTTTATTCACCTGTATTCTTTGTGGTCGCTGGGGGACTTCACAATATCGGGGTCCCCTGCGTTTTTCTTGGCCCGGCGCTTGTGCCCTTCCTCGTCAGAGTCTTCCTGTCGTGCCTGGGTCCTTCGACACCCCTGCCGTCCCCCCTGCTGCGGTGGGCGTAAGACTGGGCAGTTCTCAGTCGGATCGGGCTTTGTCCCTCTAGACATTGCTGTGGCTCTGAGGTGATTTGCGAGGTGCTTGCCAGCCACCCTGCACTTGAATTTCCCACCTAGTTACTGTCTTGCAGAAACTTCTGTTCTTCCATACCAAAACCAGCCTCCTTGCCAGGACTATACAATCCATCCCAGACCCCGTTGGATGCTTGGATTCTTGAGAGATAGCATCTGTTTATGACATCGATAAAGGAACAAGCCATGATTCCATGAGGGGTAGTGAGGGAAATAAGACAAGAAATGGAGAAAACTAAACACATCAAATTTATTCATTCAATCGCCTTTTTATAAATTGGTTGGTTTGTTTGAAACCTTTGTATCCAGATTTGTTTGTTTTTTTACTTATAAAAAGCCCTCAAGTTACTTCAAGAGAGATTTGGGTTTTTCTAAATTTTACTTTAAAAACTTATATCTTGCCTTTCATCGGAAATAATCTAAGGGTGGGTAACAACAATCAAAATCACATAAAACCAGACAGGAAAATTAATACACAAGTAGCAGCAAGCAGTATAAATTACTACAAAAAGGTAGTAAGGTAGTAATTACTACAAAAAGGTAGCAGCAAGCAGTATAAATTACTACAAAAGGTTGGCGTCTAAAAATTTGTCTGAAAAAAAGATCATAAATATCATTTAAAGCTTGAGTGAACAGGACATGTGCCATAGGGTATCTAAAAGATTATTCTGTTCTACCACATGCCTCATTATTTGTGTAATCAATAAAGTCACCCCAAGACTGCATAAAAATTGTCGTGTACCCGTAGTTTGCCATGCATGGCAAAAAATTATTATTATTTGTTCCTTCCTCTCGCCTACATATAAACTTTTGTAGTCTGTTAAAACAGTGATGGTTTTGGTATACACTCTGATGTAACTTTGTTAGTATATTGGGAGACATTGTTTTATTTCCATTTTGTGTAATTGTTGCATGTCATATGTTCTAATAAATACGTTTTTCTAAAAAGAAAGATAACAATGAAGGCACCAGAAAACTATGGCTGTGGAGATAGTTCCACCATTTGGACACCTGTACAGAAAAGGTCCATTCTTTTGTAGCCTTTGCCTAACACAGTAGTGAGGAACCATTCTTCAGCATAAGGGTCACGTTTCCTTGTGGTCTGCCTTCAGGGGGCTGATGGCCAGGGATGAGCAAAGCAACAAATGTGGTTCTTATCTCTGTACAGTAGGCTTCAGTGCAGCTACACAAATGTCAGAGGTTTCAACATGTATATCTCTCTAGCCATCCATGCTTGGTGTTGGTTAGGTTATTAGAAAGAAGAAGAAGAAGAAGACGACAATGAACTGGAGGACATATTACAAATTTATACGATTATACATGGTAAGAGTAACAGGGTTGCACTCCTCCTTCTCTCTCTCAATAAAGGTCATTCACCAGAGTGATCAAACCTGATTCTATCCTCAACCCAGCCCTGAAGTCAGACTGAGGCGGATCCAGATAATCAGTGTCATCCATTGTAAAGGTGGTGTTTCCCCTTCGCAGTTACACTCCGGCACAGTCAGTGTGGTATTTACAGTCTTTATTACATATATACAGTGGTAGCTAGGGTTACATACGCTTCAGGTTACAGACTCTGCTAACCCAGAAATAGTACCTCGGGTTAAGAACTTTGCTTCAGGATGAGAACAGAAATTGTGCGGTAGCGCCATGGTGGCAGCGGGAGGCTAAAGTGGTACCTCAGGTTAAGAACAGTTTCAGGTTAAGAACGGACCTCCAGAACAAATTAAGTTCTTAACCTGAGGTACCACTGTACAAGAAACAGCTACAGTTCAGAATTACGCGTCTGAACCCGCTGAATCAGATTTGGGGAGTGGCTTCCTATGATTCCTGCGCCAACAAAGAGCTTCCTTCCCAAGCCTCTGGGTGGTTGCAGGGCTCTTCAGCATCCCTGAGCCCTGGCTACTCTCCGCCCTCTCTTCTGCTTCCTCTGTCTCTGGGTGGTTGTGGGACTCTTCAGCATCCCCGAGCCCCTGTTCTGCCTCTTCTGTCCATTGCTCCTCCAAATCCTCCCTGACCATCCATGAACGCTTGAAGTTGCTCCACCACAACCCTGTCCACCACCTCCACCTATGGAACCAGGCAGCATTGGTAACTGGCAAGAAGTTACTGCAGACCATTGGAGCATGTTTATTATTTGCCTCAGAAATGCATTGTGTGTGTTTTTAAATGACAATATCTGCTTTGCAAACAGAAAAAGGCACGTTACAGTTGCGTGATGAATAGCAACAGATTCTCTGCTATCAGTTCTGGAAGAGAAGGAAAACAAGAGTGAGCAATCAAGGTCGGTAAGAAGCATTGGCAAAGAATCATTGTAGGTTTACAGTGCCATTATCACCTCTACTTATGTCAAAGAATAAGCAGTGCTGTGGAAGAGCCAACTGAAAAAGTAGGAATGAGGGATTTGAGGTTTACAGGGTAATTTATATTCCTAATGCATCTTCCCATAGAAAAGATAATCCAATTTAAAACCTGATTTATCTATAATGGATCACATTATATTTTGCTTACATTCTGAAAGTTTAGTATGAGTGCCTGGATTATGCAGTGCTCCGAGCCAAAGTTCATTTTAATGCAAACCTAAAAAAACAAAACAAACTTTTTTATATAGTTTTTGGATGACTATCCTGTTTGTATCCACTTGCGTTTTGTTTCAGTAAAATGGGCATGAAAGCAAAGTTGTGATGGTTAATAACACTTAACAGATATTAAAAAGAAGAATGCAAGTAGCTGAGACTACCAGACAAAAAAAAAGTATATAATAGGAGAAGTTCCGAAGGGCTCTGAAAATATAGACAACCCTTCCTTGCACAAGGTTTTCAGCCACGTACTAGGTTCCAGCTGCAGGGAGTAGGAGAGCAGTCAGATGAATCTAGGAACCACAGTAAACCGCCAGAATGCTTGTGGGTTCAACATAAGAATTTGGGTGGCCACCATGAGACCAGGATGCTGGGCCACTGGCTTGATTCAGCAGAGTTAGGGAGGATAACATGAGAAGACCCTTTGGGAAGAAGTTTGAGAGACAGAAATGAGATAAAGACTTCTTTGTCAATGTCTTTGAACATGGCCGTCAACATCATTTGGCTTTGGAGAAATGCTGGATCACATTGTCACCATCACATTAGGAAAGGCTGTGGCTCAGTTGTACAGCACATGCCTGGCATGCAGGAGGTTCTAGGTTCAGTCCTAGGTGTCTGCAGGTAAATCTGGGAGAGGCTCTTGCCTAGAACCCTGTCAGTCAGTGTAGACAATACTAAGCTAGATGGACCAAGTATCTGACTCCATGGAAGGCCAGATTCCTATGACCCTACTGATTGTGGTAGAAATTATATCTGTTGCCTCTAGCTAAGTTGTTGTCAGTAGTGACTCCATAACGGAACAGAACAAATTTCTGAATATTTTTTAAAAGGCACTCTTTCATTTCTTGTGGGGTGATTCTCAACTTTCTCCTTCACCCTCAATGTTATTAATTAAATCTACTGTATGTCGAGGACAGCTATTTAATTCAAGCCTTGACTAGTCCATGAGAGCCAGCACTGTTGGCAACCTGTCAACACCAGCCCTCAGAGTGAATTATTTTGACAGGTTTGCCCCTTAGATTTGGCTGTTTCCCCATGTGCAAGATGGCAACTCTTTTGCAGTGCTTGTAGTTGAAAGCATGAATGTACTTTAATTGTTTTTCTAATGCCTTCTATTCATGGAGTTATTGCTTTCCTTGTGAAATGTCTTGACGACCACTTGAAAGGTGGCTAGTGAGAGCAAGAGAAAGGTCACAGATATCAAAGAGGTGGCTGTTTTCAGAAAACCAATACTTTCAACCTGTTATTCCACATTGTAGTCTTGGGTGGCAGCCATAAGCCAGTTAAACTCTCAGTATTTGGATGACATCTGATTGCCCTTCAGTGGGAACCAAATGAGTTAAATCCCACTACTTATTTGACAGCGTTGTCCCTAAACCCTATCATAATTTATATGTAGTGCACATTTTAACATTCAGTATGCTTCCTTAGGCAATTTGTGCTTTGAAAGGCAGTTTATGGATGCTAAATATTAGTGATAGTATTATACCTTGTTATTTGTAGGTCAGGGTGCAAGAGATGAAATCAAAGTGTTAAGAGTAGATAAAGAAACGTTTTTATCAGGCTTCTTTCCTGAAGGATGAAAGAAAGTTAGTGGTAAACATGTTTTAACATTATCTAAGGTTTTCTTTGTGTGAAATTCAGGACGTGTGAATTTCAACAGAGGCCAGATGTGTCCTGTAGAATTATGAACACCAGATTGTGCAACTGTGCATACTACTTTCGGAATTATCTTTCTGCAGTCATATGAAATAAATTTACAATAGCACATACGGACTTACTTCTGGATAGAAATTTATAGGACATGAACAAAGTTTGGAGCAGCTTATATATGGTTCTCAAGAGTCCCCTATCTAGACAGCTTATAGGCCCAGCAGCCCTTAGCTTCAGCAGTAGAACTGTGTCACATGCCTTCTGACTATTGCTTCATGTCCTTGTGGATCAGACCAAAGGCCTGTCTAGTCCAGAATCTTGTTTCCCACAGTGAGCAACAGGATGTCCCTGGGAAACACACAAGCAGGATGTGAGGTCAGTATCCCACTCCTCTAGGGATTCTGTCTGTGATCCTAGAAGTAGCATAATCATGACAAGTAGTCAGTGGCCACATTCACATATGGTGATACCCAGGTATCCTGGCTCAGTAAACAGGAGCTGTGTGAAAGGGATAGCTCAGTGCAACATCTGCACCTGGGCTCTGGTTTGCTTCTCCCTAACAAGCCAGGATCTGATCTCTTGCCAGCCTCAAACCAGGGTTTGTTGCTTACTTAAGAATCCTTGTTAGCAAAAAACAAGCCAGGATTCTAGGTATGGACACCATGCTAAGCTATCACTTCCTGGCTTGTTTACTGAGGCTGTATACACACCTTCCATTTAAAGTACCATCCCAAAGAATTCTGGGAACTGCAGTTTATCGCTCACAGTGCTAAAGTTCCCAGAGCCCTTAACGACATAAAATTCTTTGGGAACAGTCATAGGCTTTAAATGTGCTTTGCTTCACCATAAAGCTGTCAAATCCCCCCTTGAAACCATTTAAGTTGGTGGCCACCATCACAACTTGTAGCAGCAACCGCTA